ATGCTCCAGGTCCAGCTAGAGTGTGCTCTAGTCCCTTCACGACGGGCTACCAATTAGTATAATTACCAGGGGAAGGAAGATTAAAAAAATACTTTTAGTGGATAAACACTCGTGGCATTAGCTCGTGAAAAGACCCTGCAGTGTCCCTGCAGCTGGCATTAATTCATATTAAATTGTTATAATTTTTAAGCAGCTTATGAATTGACCACAGACTCTTACTCTTCTCCGGAATTGGGGGCATGGTCGACCCACTCCGGCTCGGTCGCTGAGAGTTTTTGGGACAGGCACTGCTGCGGCAACCACTCAGGATGTCGGGCGCCTGCTAAGCCGACTCGTCGACATTATAATAACATCCATCATTCTGGACCATATAGAAATGACAACAACTGCCAAAGTAGCACAGAAGTAAAAAAAAAACAAAAAGGAGAGCTTCATCGTGACGAACTCTTCATACCCTTGTACCTCGACAAGCAGCAAAAGTAGATGTAGCTACTAGCAGGCTGTGTAGAGCAAAAACTATAGTTTCTATAGAGATTATGTATAGTTATAAATTAGAGTTTCTTCATATATTTTCATATGCTCAAACAACTTCCTCACGACTGAAGCTTCTTCCGATCTCGATCAGGAATATATTTAATCGTACTTGATAGTGTCGTAGATGCATTGCAAGCATCTTACAGATTTTCGAATACCCTTATGCAAAGGGTATAAAAGCAACAAACTTTGGACTGCTCGCTGTGTAAACAAGATGTATTTTTGTTTACCAAAACGTTGTTTCCGTTCCCACTGTTGTTGGCGGTGCTTTTAGGCCGGGAATAAATGCGGCCATTTAACCTGCTGTTTTCGGCCTCTCATACGTATACTTTTTATGTGGACAAATACACACTCTTGTGCGTGTGTTTATGCATCCAATAATAAGCAATTTCGTGCACATAATTGACAATGACCAGCGCTGAAACGGCCAGACCAGAGTAAATAGCCATAATTAATGTATACAACATGAATGTGACCTGACCGAAATACGAAAAAGTGGCAGTGGCAGTGGCAGTGGCAGCAGCAGGAGCAGACGACATGGCTATGCCACTGTCCTGGCTCTGACTTTGGGCGAGTGCGTGTGCGTATGCAGGAGCCACCAACTTTGTTTGTCTCCAGTCGCGAACAGTGGGTCATAGTTAAGCTTACGTGTTGGATACCTATTAAATTGTAATTGTAAAGGTTCATAGCACATACAATACATATACATATACGTACATGACGTCTTAAACCATTCGATTGCCGGAACGGAATCTTAATTTGTATCCTTTACAGATAAATACATATGCTAAAAATACGCTCGACCTCTAACAAATTGCTTTACATAATTGAAATCATCTTAGAAAAATCAATTCGATTCTAAATCATAGCACAGAGGAGCTTAAATTGCTTGGGACTTCACCACTTGATTGATGTCCCATGAAAATCTGAATGATTTTCTTTCTTCATTTTATTGTTTTCAGGAATAATAAATGAAAAAATAGATTGCTTTATCCGCAATACGTATATGTGTAAAGCACCAATCTGGCTACACTGGATGTGCGAATCGATAAAGACTCTTCCAGTGTCCCACTGTAAGCATCGATGTGCCATAATGCGTATACGCCACGTGGTGCACATTGAAAAATGTGCAATAAAGGCGATTTCTTCATTGATACGCAAAGCAGCGATAAGGTCGTCTGTACTCATATTGTATAATGCAAACGGTATATTGAGTGCCGAATGTTTGAGCCAGAAAAATCTGGAGGGTGGGTGGGTGGTGTGGAGTGGAGTGGTCGGAAGCAAAAGAGCATCAGCCACAAAATTGGCAAAAAAACAACAGGAAAATGTACAATATTTCGACGGAGCTGCCATGCTGGCACGCTGGCGCTGGTTCGCCAATGCTTCTCCGGGTGATTGCGTTGACAAAATCGCATTGACAGACGGGCGAGAGAGCGGAGCAGACAGACACATCCTGCGGATATTTGACGGCCTGGGGAAGCGTGCAAATGGCGGTGCCGGAAAGTGGTGGTGGTGCTGGTGGTGCTGGTGGTGCTGGTGTGTGGACACCCCTGGAACACAGGCACAGTGCATAGCCCATTTTCATTTTCATTAATATAAAAAGATGTGGAGGAGCTGTTTGTGCGGGGCGGACTCAAATTAGATTTGCATGTTGTGTCAATGGAGGTTTACGCCGGCTGGGCGTCATTTGATTTTCATTTAATTTGGGAAAACACATTTAGGCGAGCGGCGAGCTCTAATCAGGCGCAAAGCCTTTTTATTCTGATAATAGTAAAATTAAATAAATGCAAACGGCTGGGAAATTTGAATTTGAATTTTGGTTGGGTTGGGTTGGGTTGGGCCTTGGATTGGGCCTTGGACCCACTCACAAAAGATGTCTGCCAAATTTATGCGCCCTCTCTGGAGGGTAAGCCATTTTCATTGTCAGCGATGGCGATGGCGGTGGTGCTGACAGCTGGGGAGTGCTTCCCCTGCCCCCGTAGCACCCACCTCCATCAGGCCCCATCAGCCTCCACCCGGTTGATGGCTGCCTTTTGTAGCCTCCTGCATCGCTAGGACGCTGTGACACTTTTATTACAAAGGCTCATGAATTTTATTTGGCTCGCGAGCTTTTATGGCAGCTCCTGCTCCTCTGCCGTGAATTTCCCCCTGGCCGGCCACCGCGGAGGGTGCATTGTTCCTGCGGAACTATTCGCCCAAGATGATCGAAAGAGAATTGTTTGCACACTGCGCTGCCCACAAACAACTCTAATTAAAAAAGTTTTACGTTTAACCACTTGAGTGGGCAGACACACACACGCATCGCAGTCGCACTGGCACTCGCATGAGGCTGTGGCATGCGAGCCGTGTTTGTGGCATGTGAGTGTGTGGCTAGACAATCAAAACTTTTGCCGCAACCAAAGAAACTTCAAAGCAGAGACAACGACAACGACAACGAAAACGGCAGTCCAGGGAAAGCTGTGGGAAATCCTGAGAAAAGGCTGAGCAAAGACAGAGGGGGGAAAGCCGAGCGCTGGGGCGGCAAGGCGGCAATAAAATTAATGAAGCGCCTCGGCTTTTAGCCGACAGCCATAACAGAGACATTAAAGCGGTTTGCTGGAACAGTTGTAGGTCATGTCGTTGCCAATGTCTATTTAAGTATGCGCACAAAGGCAGGCCCATCTCCAGGCCCAGCCCAATCCCCAGCCCCAGTGTCCGCGTTCGCCTGGCATGAATTACAAGGACTGTGCCCCTGCGGGACAGCGCCAGCACCCGCCCTCGATTCTGTTGAATGCGGCGGCTAATCTCTGATGTACACTTAATTATGTGGCACACTTTTGATTGCTGGGGGACTCGAGGCAATGGCAATGGCAATGGAGAACAGAGTACGAACCGAGCCGAACCCTTTCAAAACTGAACCCTTTCCCTATGTCTTTTCCTTTTCCTTTCCCTTTCCCTTCGTCTTCATTTGCCTTTTTCCCTACTCTGACTCTGACTCCGGCTCTGACTCTGACTCTGGCATGTAAATTTCATTTAGTAAATGCTGTTAGCCTGGCAGCCAAGTATGCTGCTCTTTTTGACATTTTCATTTGATTTTACCTCCGCCTCCGTCCTGCTGGCTGGCTGGATAGCATCATTGCCAATGCAAACAAGCTGAGCAGAGCAAAAGAGAGCTCTGGAAACTCATGAAGCACACGAGAGGCAGAGGCAGAGACAGAGACAGAGGCAGAGACAGAGATAGATGCCGAGACAAGCGACACCGGGCAGAGCTTAACTAATCCGGAATCCAGCTGAAAAAGTTCCGAGCCAAAACTTTTCGTGTGCACCAAAAATTCTTATCAAAACTTGCACTGCATTCCATCAATTTTTCACAGCTCCTCCTCTTGCACCGCCTCTTGTCCCGCCTCGCTGTCTGACTGCTGCAATAAAGCAATCAATTTCGAGGTACGCCTGCCCCCTGCCCCTGCCACACCTGAGTGACACCTTTGACAAGGCCCAGTGAAAAGGAAAAATGCGAGTATCGACGAGCATCCGTGTTGGTTGATGTTGTGCGAGCTGTTCAACCGAATACGTAATTGTTTTTAAATGAAACTCTTTGTCCTTGGCCGTGGCAACTCCCTCCGCTCCGTCAATTCAGACGCTCAGCCCCCAATCAATCAAACAATCAAGCAATGTTTATCTGAAGCGCTCGATTTCTCCAATAAATACAGTATACCCATCCGCCTTGCATGTTCCTCAGCCCACGCGAAGGACCATAATGAACGCAGAGTGCGAGTCTGAGTCTGAGTCTGAGTCGCGGCTTATCCGGCTGCCTGTTGTCTATCCTGTTGTCCCCATTTTGTCTGCTCATTTGGACTATTTCTGTTTGCATTATGCGCTATTTGCACATTTGATTGAATAAAGTTATATACACTTGGCATGCAATAGAATGATTAGGGCCCCAGCCAACGATGGTGGGTACGAGAGTGCTTGGTGCTCGAGACACCCCGCAAAACACTGCGGCTCGTGCAAGTACTCATGGAGTACAATTGGAACAATTCCGAGCCTTAATATGAAAACCTACTTACCTACATAAAGAAATATATTTTTAAATTTTTAGCGTCTCCTAAGGCGCTGAGTCTTTTGAACAACTCAGGAAGGAACTATTCGGTCCTTCAAGTTTTTCCCATACTGAACTACTTCCTTCAATTCTTTTGCCTTTTAGCTAATATACTCCAATTGATTTTTGAGAATTTTTTCTACACGACTACAACCAATAAAAATAATTTGCACTGTGACTTTCATTTTCAAAGAGCATCACTTTTGAAATACGAAAATTCGAGTTATTTTAGTTGAATTTGTTCGTTAGTCTCGTTTACAGAAAATTTGTATTAGTGTGTCGCATTCAAGTGTTAGGGCGTGTGTGTACATATATTTTTAAGGGTCGTATTCAAGTGTCGCGGAGTGTGTGTACACTTGCTTGTTAAGTTTATTAAATACTAAATTAAGCTAAGTCAAATCGTAAATGGTAAATCACACTCTTTTCGAACGCCTTTTGTCCGATTTGCTAACCACACCACCTCTACAATCAGCCGGACAACAAGGCAGTGTACAAGAACAACCACAACAACAGCAGCGGCGTGGCTCTGACCTCTGCCAGATCGAGACCATCGACGACGGCCTGGGCGATGAAATCCATACATCAGCCTCACCGCAAGACATTTTACAACAACTACAGCACCAGATGCAGGCCGGATCGCCACGCATCTTCCTGATCCTAGACGCAAGGAGTACTGGCAATGCAGTCGGGCTGAAAAAATAATTCTCCAGTATACATAAACTACTGTATTCCACAAACTACTGAAATATTAGCTGCCTATGTTGGATAGTTGCCAATTGCAGATACATGGCCATAAACCGCCAGCCAGACTACAAAGTGCGCATACGCACTGTGGACCAGCTGCAAGCGGCAGTTGCAGTGGCAAGTTTTGTGCAAATTAATGTGACATGGCAGCAATTAGTCGGACACAGTCCCGGTCCGATCTGCTGCTAAATGATTTAAAACTTGTGCAAACTTTGGTCCTATGCTCGCACTGTTTGTCTGCAACATTTGCGAAAACTTTTAATTACTACACACTTGCGAGTTGTTGTTCAATTTGTGCGCGATGCTGCCAGATTATAAACTTTTGTCGAGTTCAATTATGTACGCCGAATCGAAAGCATTGTGTGTTCCAATTTGCTGAGCAAACTTTTCTGGCGGCTTTCTGGCGGCCCATTTTGATGTGCAATTAGTGCCCGAGAGAGGCGGAGAGCGAAAATGGAACCTGGGCAGCGTTAATTTTGTATGGGCTCATGCTCATTTCGGCGAGCGCCAGTAGCCCTAGCATTTTATGTCAGAAAATTAATCGGTCGCCATGTTTCAAACCGGAAGACACTTTTGGCCCTTCAAATCGAACAACCCCGAGCATCGCCGGCGGTTCGTTCTAAAGGTTTACCTACAGTTTGTGTTCTTTTTACTGATTGCTCTTTTTCACTGGGTCCTCATGATAACAGTTTTGGGGTAAGGTGAACTGTAGAAAATCCCTCTGTCTATAATGCTCCCCCTTCGCAATTGACAGAACGTGGACCGTTTGGCTGGTGCGCGACCATTCTGCAGCCCTCATTCTGGCATTTGCCGTAGGCATTTTCCTATTTCTGCTGTTCTCGCTCAGCCGTCAGATGAGGAGCCTGTGCTTCTTGAACTGGCTGACGACTTTGGTTATCGTGAGTACACGGAAGCATGGGTTCCTTATATTGCCCTGGGCGTGTTGTCTATTCAGGGTCTCTTCTCTAGGTGGAGTTTCTGGTGCAGCCCATGGCATTGCTAATCGTTCCCACGGACCTTCTGTATCTGCTGGCCGGCTTTCTGATCGTCTCACTGGTAGTCGTCCTGTTCACGCTCCTGGCAGCCATTATGCCGGTGAGTATCTGAAGTCTAAAGCGACCCTTAACTATAACACTGCCTTTGTCTGTGACTGTGACACACGTCTGTTCCATCTCACGCAGTGCGATCTTACTGAGGGAGGGATCTTCTTTTTAATTCTGTTCATGAGTGTCTTTTTGCTGGGCGTGTACTGCATTGTGCTTTATTCAGTCATCGGCCTGAACTGGTCGTTTTACGTCTTCGCTTTCCTCTTTGCCGTTATGCTGTTGGCCGTAAGAATAGAACCCTATCCTTCTACATATACCGCCTGTCCACGGCATACTCACGAATCATTTGCAGTTCCTAATGTATCATGTGCAGTGCATCATGGGAGGCAGAAGCACTGAGGCCGAGCTCGCCGATGACAAGTACGCGGCGCTCCTATTGTTCAACGAATTCGTGGCTTTGTTTATGCTATGCCTTTACTGGCGACCCAATATGGACCACGTACCAACAATGAGCATATGCACCACCACAAGTTCGTCTTAAGTAATCTAATGAGTGCCCACCCTTCACGTTAATAAATACACTTTGGAACCCTTCTACTGAATGTCTTTTTGGGTGAAACACTTATTCATTCGTCGCTCGGCCAGAGCGGCTAGGGGCTTTCCCATGCGGCAGCCCGTGGGTCCGTTCAGGTGCAACATTACGTGATCCCGACACCCAATCAGCCCGTCTCCATCGCAGTCATAGCCGAACCGCTTCACATAGCTCCGCACAAGCCCCTCGGCGCAGCTGGCAACTGGCACGCATTCCTCGTAGTCTGCTGGGGACGGTGAACGGGAGAAGTATCTGGTTAGAGCGTGGGTGTTCTGCGGCAGTTTGTCAAACGGGAGTCGAGTCTGCATTACCCTGCGTAAGTGCGCTGTCCGGGTCACTAGTCCCCTGGGCGTCCATCCAGTACAGCCATGAGATGCGATAGATGCCGCACGGCCTCCCCCCGCACATTGCTGGGTGGTTGTCCGTGGCGGCGACAGCGATGCATGGCAGGCAGTCCCCGCTCGGCTCCAGAACCGATGGCCGGAATGTAGTTATGCTCTGGGCAGCTGAGAATGCAGAGAAACTATTAGCCAAGCTAATTAAAACGATTAGCCACACATACTCTATATTCTAGCTTGGAAAATGTGGCTGTAAGTAGCGGCCATCGATTTATGAATATTTAAACATGCTTTGTGCTCTGTGCTTCCTCTATATTCGTCTACTTCTGCAGAAGTCAGATTATAGTCGAACCTTGGCACTGCCTCAAGTCTGCCCTGCAAACACTAATCATTACATATAAGAATAATAAATAAAAAACTCAAACGTTTCTTTCTGAACGGAGAGCGATCATTGCTAGCAGGCAATGAACAGATGACAGATGGTGGCAAAAATCAGCAAACAAGCGTCGCACTAAAGTTTCTGATTAGGAAAAGTGTTGCGACATTTCTGTAAGAGCGTTTGGAGCACTCGTCACTTACCCACGCCAGCTGCAACATCCAGAGAAACGGGCAATGACTCCGTGTCCACGGCCACCAGCTCCTTCTCCTTCTCCTTTCGCGTGATGTGCAAGCGCCCCAGATGGGGCCTCTGCTTTAAGTGCATGTAAATGGCGCCTAAGATGAGCAGCAGGGCGGTGACGATAGCCGCCACAGTCAAGAGATCCAGGGTGCTCCACGAGCACGAGCGAATATTCCACCTCCGCTTGCGAGGCTGGCTGGAAAGGGACAGGGCCTCGGCGTACTCTTGATGGGCCGTCACCGTCGCCTTGGCCCCCCCGGCAGCTCCATCGCCTTCGCCAAGTTCTGCCACACTGCTGCTTGAAGTTGGATCCATTCCCACGTCTAACCGCGTCTAAATCCAGTCCAGTCTTCCCCGCGGGCTGTCCGAAACGCGACTGAGATGGCGTGCTCTCTGCGCTCGCCGCGGGTGGTGGACGAGATAACCCCACTTCGATTATCACTCAATGTTCTCGGGTAATTGATGCTCGTTGGTTGCGGTCGCTGTTTCTGTTGCTTCTCTCTATCTCTTCTATCGTTCCGTTCTCTGACCCGCGGTCCCACTAGACCTACTGCCATTTCATTTCGATTCTCACTGAACTTGTCGGATTTCTCCCTGCCACTCAGTGTCTCTCCAGATGTACTCGCCAGATTAGGTGTCGATTGCATCTCGTTCCGCTTGCCACATGCCAACTTATGGCAGCCCAGGCCCAGCCGCATATCGAATGCTGGATGTTGGATGCTGGATTCTGGACGGGGGGAGCACGGGAACCAGTGCCAGTGTGGGAGTGGGAGTGGGTGTGGGACAACCTTGCGCATTTATATGCGCGAATTGTAAACAAATATGAGAAATTGTGTAGAGGAGACTCTCGAGGCGAAATTGGAATGAAAGTGGAGGCAACAGCAGGCACTTTTACGAGCATAGTTTTGTCCAGAGGCGGGGATGGGGCAGGGTCAGGGGCAGGGGCCCAGGGTTGAGGGTTAGCAGTGGAGCTGCAACAGACGTGCATGTATTCTGCGTGAAGTGCCACTTGTCATACGCAAACTTACACCATAAGTGCCATAATCTGTCAACAGCAAAGAATGTGATGCATTTTGCGGGGTGTTGTTGTGTCCATTGTTTTATAGAATTCTAAAAATTGAATACATTTTTAAGCTTTGTGGCAGAGAGGAAATTTATTTTGTCGAAAAATGTTGGCAAAATCGAATTGTTTTTGTTTTCCCAGAACATGGCCACTCTTGTAATCAGTGACACTGTAAACGGTGTTTGTGAACACAAAAATTTTCCAATACATATGGCTTTTTTCTCCCTATAAAAGAGTTCGATTGAATTGGAAGTGTTTAAAGATTGGGCGTTTGTGCGGTGCAATTGAATAGACGTCTTACCGCCGGTATTCATCCCTTCGAAGGCGCGCCCCTGTACGAGTAGTTGGACTTACGCTAACATGGCCTCCTGCACAGGTGCACAACAAATAACAAAAGTGCGACGTCATTTAGTTGATTATTCCTTCTTCGCATTGTGGCATTCCTGTTTTCGCATGGCACTGCCACTGCCACATGCCCCCGCAAATGTCGCCATTGTCTCAGGGCGTTTCCGCTGCTATTTTTGCGAAGGCGAAAAGTCATTTGTGCGCTTTCCCACACGGAACTCACACACACACACAAACACAGGCGGAGGCGGAGGCGGATGAAAGGACGAGCAGCACAAAAAGCCAAAATCAATTATGGAAAAATTACCAGTAGTTGCGATAAATGTTCTTTGTGCCCGGTGCTATTCCCAAAATGCTCGGATTTCAGCTCGAACTTGGACTCGGACTCTGGACTCGGCTCCGTCTCCGAATCCCACTTCGAGTGGGTGTCGCCTTGGCCCCATGTGCGACAGCCCCAACTTGTGTGTGTAATAATATGCGGTGGATTCTTTTCTTGCAAATTTTCCACTCGAATTCCTTTTGTGAGCTGGCTCTTAAAACCCTATGAACGAGGAACGGGCGAACGGGCGAACGTGCGGCATGGTCGCGGAAAAGGAGTGTACGAAAATGAGGAAAATGAGCTGAAATCTGAACACGAGTACGAGCACTTGGTGCACTCGATTATGGCGAGTGTCGAGCACCCAAACGGCGGTAACGGCACTTTCCGGTCTCCGTCCTGATTTCTGTTCTGTTCCGCTGCTCCGGTCCGCTACCGGGCTGCTGTGCTGCATGCGATATGCATGAGTTGAGCCAATGTGGCCATTCCGGCTGATGTATACGGAGCACGTAGCATGCTGAAACAAAGTTAATTAGATTTGCGGCAAGATGCCCATTATCGGTCGATAAGGACCACGGGTAGTGTAGGGGTAGCAGCCCTTTTAACGGTCCAAGTGCAGCTAATTTTGCAAATATTCTATTTATAAATATGGTTTTGGGAGTACTAACTCAGTCGATTTAAGATTTAACCAAAAAAGGATGACTTACGAGGTCTATCCTTAGGGCCAGACATAGTTTTGAGTTTAAGCTGAGGTAAAACGTGTCATTTGGGAGACCCCGAAAGATGGAATTCTTTAAAATATTTTGTTCACTCCATGGATTTTATTCCCGTTTTTTAGAATTTTTCTTGCTCTTGCTTTAGGATATAATCAACTGCAAATGACTTTAACTAAATTCTTGGGGAAAAAACGGATTAAAATATATGTTCAACAAGAACACGCTTATTCATTTTTGGGGTTCAGTATTAACCCACTTTTAAGACCAGATGCATATGATCCCAGTTTGGCTGCCTGCTGCCGGGTATATCCTAGTCGAGGATGCTTTGACTGGTGCATTTTTCCTGCTTTTCTTGCGTTTTATGTGGTTTATTCGCCTGGAATGGGCCTGGGGCAATTACCGTGCTTAATGGCCTCCGAAATGTTTGGTTCCCCTGCTGCCCGGAGACCTCTTTATCCCTGGCTTCACTCGGCTCCATGCTGCATGCTGCAAGCTCCATCCTCCATGCTCCATCCCCCATCCTCTATCCTTTTAAGCAGCTGGCGTAACTTTTTTATATTTACGAGCTGAATGCATTTCTACGTTTTACATCTTTCTCTTTTTTGCAGCTGGAGGAGCAGGCTTGGCTAATGCATTTCATCCGACCCGACTCTAGGCGGTCTGAGGGCTAAGTTATAGCATTAAAGCAGCAGAAATCGTTCAGAGTTAGTACAACATATGCAAATGTTAGCCTGTTAACGGCAAAGTTGAGTGATTGAAAATGCAAATTTCACAGAAGCACGCCAGTGGGAGTGGCAGTGACAGTGGCAGTGGCAGTGGCAACCGCAACTGACTTCCGGAAGCTGCACTGAAAACAACCAATAAACTGCAGAGCGTATCGCATCATCGCACCATTGCACCAGCGTACCATCCCACCATCGAGGCAGCCAATTAACCCACCTACGGAGCCCACGACATCCATTAAAGTGGCGGAAATGACAAAGTCAAAATGTATCGCTGCAAAAATTGGTTTTGTGCGCGCAGCAACAACAACAACTACGTGGATGTTGCACTAAGCGAGCCGGGAACATTACCAGCACCCTCATCAGCCACGAGCACGGGCACAACTACGGCCAATAGCTTTGGCATCGGCAACGCACGCAACAATAACAACAGCAGCAGTGGCAGCGGCAGCGGCAGTGGCAGTGGCAGGATCAAAAGCAATCAACAGACAAACGCCACCGCAGCACCAAACAGGGCCACACCCACCGCCGATGAGGCATCTTCACCACAGGCCGGAGCCGGAGCTGGAGCTGCAGCCGGAGCCGGAGCCGGACCCGGAGCTGCTCATGTGGTCACCTTTCTGGATGATACGGCAAGCGGCAGTAACGGAACCGTAACCAGCAGCCGTATAGTGACCACGGCCGAACTACACCAGGCCCACATGCTGGAGCATCACTCCAACTTGGATGCCATCGAGCAGGCGGATGATTTCATCTACGGTCCCGGTGCGGGCCTATCTCTGTGCGATGATAGCCTCCCCTCAGCCAAGAACTGCTACCGACTGGTCATGCTTGGGTGTGTATAATCAGAATGGACCGGACCACTGTCCGCTTACATCTCAATCTGAGCCTCCATCTCAATTTCCAATTTCCATTCCAATCTGTCGCTTTGCAGCTCATCACGCGCCGGCAAGTCATCGATTGTGGCACGTTTCCTGGGCAATCGGTTCGAGGAGGCATACACGCCGACCATCGAGGAGTTCCATCGCAAATTGTATCGCATACGAAACGAGGTCTTTCAATTGGACATTTTGGATACTTCTGGCTATCACCCGTTTCCCGCAATGCGTCGTTTGTCATTTCTAACTGGTAGGCTACCCCCCTCTTGCCCACAACCCACAATAATCGGGTGTCTATGGTGGCTATGCTGGCTATGGTGTCTATGGTGTCTATGGATCTGTACGTGTGTGTGGGCTCACCGCAATCGTATGAGACGCACGTTTCATCGCTTAAGTCGTCGACTGCCTTCATCGGGCGCTATTTAATGTCCTATAAATTATCATCAAAATCAGCCCCATCTGCTGCCAAGCTAAAGTTTGCTACTATACCCTTTGAAAGGATAATTTTGGTAACAAATCGCTTTTGCTATGTCAGATGTATTTGTGGGGTTTTATGACTAAGTTTTCAATTCAAAATTGTCATAAACAGTTCAATAACCATAGATGGTAGACGTTGAGACACTGATCCTCGATATATCACACATTTATCCAAGTTAGTCCTTTGAAACTTTTAAGCATATTCTGCCCGGCCATCTCTCTATTATACAAATAAGTTTTAGACGGTCGTCCGATATTTTATAGGCGCGAGCGGGAGGAGCAAGTGATCCGGGGGTCTAGTCTATCCCTAGTCAAGTATAATCTCAGAGTTATTTATTAGAGCAAGTAGGGTATTGATGTCTCAGTGGCTTTCAGCTATTGATTTACCGTCCAAGTACGTTCATCCGTCCCATTTAGCCAAAGCAAGCCCCCACCCCAAATCCAAATCCCACTGCAACCCCCCACTTTGCGACCTCATAAACACATATATTAGCATAGCGGAGATGAGCTTCTGGTGCTGGGGGCGCTTTATATAGTGTCTGGGAAATTGCGAGTGCGTAGGTCACAGATGTGAGACCGTAAATAAGCAATAAATTTGCATTTGCTAAATCAAACGACGATTAATGTTCCTTTTATGGCTTCTAGGAGATCTCTTCATACTTGTCTTCAGCATGGACAGCCGCGAGTCCTTCGAGGAGGTTGTGCGGCTTCGCGAGAACATCCTAGAGACCAAATGGGCGGCCCTCAACCCCGGGTCGGGCTTCAAGAAGAAGAGTCTACCGAAGATACCCATGATACTGGCGGGCAACAAGTGTGATCGTGATTTCAAGTGAGTTTGTCAGATATTTGAGGGTAAATACGAGTAAAGCGGACTAATTTGCGTTCCGGTATCCTGCAGAACCGTGCAGCTGGACGAGGTGATGGGCTACATCGCTGGCCAGGACAACTGCTGCACCTTCGTGGAGTGCTCGGCGCGCCAGAACTATCGCATCGACGACCTTTTCTATGCGCTGTTCATGGTTTCGAACCTGCCGCTGGAGATGACCCCGAACCACCATCGACGCCTGGTGTCCGTCTTCGGAGCACCCTCGCCGCTGCCGCCGCACGGATCGGCTGTGGGCGGGACCAAGAAGAATGCCCTCTCGATCAAGCGGCGCTTCAGTGACGCCTGCGGCGTGGTCACGCCCAACGCCCGCCGGCCCAGCATCCGCACGGACCTGAATTTGATGCGGTCCAAGACGATGGCCCTCAACGAGGGCGAGACCGTGCGCACCACCTCCCGCTGGAACCGCTGCGCTCTGATGTAGACACCAGAGCGGTGTGATAGTAGTATGAGCGGGATCCAAGCGGGATCCGGACGGACTCGCGATTTGCGATTTGCGATTCGCGATTCGCGGCCATGCATGGAGCCGTATTTAATTATAAACGCAGCGTTTGGGTGATTTCGATATTTTTTTTATAGTGTAAATACTAGTAGAGGGCCAGAAATGTGTGTTTGATCTATTAATTAATAATGCATTTAGCATTTTCTCGCAATCGTTATCGTACTATGAACAAAGCAAAACAAGCAGAGCGTATTACATAACAGCTACTGGTATGCTATGCATAATTTATCACCGACTCGCGGTCTGCATGGCATTCCATTCCAAGCCACCCATCCACTCACCTTTGTCCGAGCATCCCCATCCCGTGCCCATGTCCCCCCGAATGTTCGTATGCTCTTGAAGCTCCGTTTTTCCATTTTCAATTTTCATTTTAATTTTCACAATAAATTTTCCACTTTCGATTTGAATTGTAGTGTAATGGTAATGGTGGTGGTTCTGATTTGATTGCACATTTACTTGACGCACACAAAAACCAAAAAACCAAAAAGCAGAGGACAATAATGTTAAAACGTACTTGGAATTGTGGGATTCGAATTGTGGGTGTTATCCAATTTAATTTTAGATTTAACCAATTGAATTTACATGAATTGATATCGAATAATTATAATTATTTAATTGTTATTGTTAATTGTTGTTGAAGATGCAATTTTTTGGATATCTGAACATTTGGAAAATTGTTATTTTCTGTTCTGTCATACTACACTCCTGTGTACACTCTACACTCCTATATATACAATACTCAATACTCTACAGACGATTGCATATCATCCAAACCGTAAGCTGTAACCGAAGCACACCGAATCTTGACCAACTAGCAGAATCTCTACTGTAACACTTGTACACCGATCAAAGCAAATCTAGCCTAAACTATAGTTAACTATATTGCGGAATGCAAATACTCGTACTTATAAAAATCAAAATACATACTATATGTAAACACTTTTAGCGTTAAACCGAATTTATCAGATCTGTTCTCGATTGGGCGAATCCCGCGGTGTTCTTGCGGTGGATGGAAGGATGGATGGACGGACGGACGGACGGACGTCCGATCGGGAACAGCTCCGGGAGGGAGTTTAGCAAATTCGAGTTTCAATGTACCAGTAACCTAAGCAACAGCAACAATTTTCGCGAGTTTAACATTTAACATTTATCAAAGTATTATCGATAATGGAATTACAAAACATATGCGTTTCATTCCCGGCATGAAACCAAGACCAAACTTTAAATGTAGCTATACAAGAGGAACATAACTAACAATGGCATAAATATATGTAAATGCCAACCAAAAACATGAATTAACATACGAGTTACTGAAACTTCAAGCATATTTTAGGCGAATATCCTTAACAGAAAAAAATACTCGTATCTATATACATATTATATTATTACAAAGTGCAAATATTTACAATTTTCGCGTTGGGCCAAAGTGCAAGAATATTAATTAAATTATTACCCCGGATAGGGTCAGGACATATTCTGGCGATTGTTCTCTAAAGTTACAATGATTTACGATTAACCATGAAGCTAACTTTTTAATGCTTTGGAGTTGCATTATTTATTTACATATTATGTATATTATATTGCAATGATTGAATTACGATTAAATACAATTTAAAATATTAAATCCGTTTTTGATTGTCAAATAAAAGCTTCATTGGGTTTCGAGCCAGATAAAGTTGCAGCTTTGTTCTGCAAGAATGAGCTTTTAAGTTTGTTTCACAAGCTTGTTTTTTGAAGCTCTTCCCCTTAGCTTTATATCCGTCATCAAGGTACCTAAAAGCTCCGTTCCGTGCAAGCCTTTGAATAACACTTTACCTGAAAAAGCTCTAGCGCTCAGAGGAAATATCAAACTATCATTATTAATCTTAATTTAATTTTGAAAATATTTGATTAAATATATTTCATGTTTATAAAATATGTATTTAAATCCGATATACATATTTCATAGAAATTTAAGATAATATATTTATTTAGGATTGTATTTTATATTTAGCTTAAATATGGGCTTTTTAAAACATTTATATATAAATCAACGTTAACTCTATCAAGTTTCGCTATGTGTGGATTTAGTAATCGAATATTTAATTTAATATTATTAATATTTTCACCCAGTAAAGGAGTTAACGAAATAATTTAAAAGAGGTCCACTGGGTTGCGTGCACATGCACTTGCACATCCAACCTACTTGGCCAACCAACTGGGCTCACATCCGGCCAATCTTTGTTGTGCATGCACCAGATGCCCTCATATTTCATGGCAAACAAATCAAATTCCTGTCTTGTTCCATCCAATTGTCACCTGCCCAGCCGTCGGCCACACATTGTCCCAAATTACAAGGAATTTTCCCGGAAAAATTTATGTTTTTCAGACGCGCCAGCAAGGTCCTAAATAATTGCCGGTTGGCCGTGGCAGCAACTGCAGGAGCACGTGCACGTGGCGATGACGACAACACATTTACGCCCAATTGAACAATGTTCCGTGAAAAGGGCTCCGGAGAAAGCGGAGAGCGGAGAGCGGTGGCCGGAGGGGCTTGGAACCGGGACGAGGACCGAGCCCGGCATCCGCTCAAAAGTGCAGTCAATTTTAATTGCTTGTCTGATCGCAGACAGGGGCTATTAATAGGCTTATGGCTTGTATGATATACTGGAACTGGTAACTGGGGCTCAGCCCATGTGGCTTTCGGGGGCGTTAGCTGACGCTCGCTTATGCAAGGGACTGCTGCCGCTGGTGCTGCTGCGGCACTCGATAATCGCTGTGGTCGGATGGTTGGCCCAGAACTGCAGGCCACTGGGCTGCTCTCTGCTCTGTGCACTCCCCTGACACCTAATACAATTTGCATATGAAATTTCCGTCTGCCAATTACGATTCGGCCAAAACAGATTAGTTGCGAAAAGCCAAATCATAATTTGAATTATGCATTTCGCTGCCGAACCCGAACCGCCTCGGCTTCTAATTAAAAGTTAAGCATTTTAAACCATTTGTTTCGATAGTTTTATTTGCGCCCGGCGATGATCCCAGATAGTTTAATTAGCGCGGAATTGGCTATGATTTGAACTAGTTGTGCTGTCAGGGCCATTGCCATTGCCATTGCCATTGGCGTTGCATTGGTGGGCGGCAAATATTTGCTCGGCAACAAAATGGAAAACTTATACGCACGTTCCGCTGCCAGACTTTACTTAGAGCCGTATAACTATCCGCCGGCGGGCGGAAAAATAAACGTAGAACAGAACAGAAGAGAATAGAAAACTTTCTATGCAAACAGGACGATACCGTCTTTAAGTCTACTAGACCTAAACCTGCACCTGCCCGCGAACAACAGTCAGCAGTGTCGCTTGGCGTATTTGCTTATTGTCTGTGTTTGTAAACATGGCTAACAACTTGAGTAATGCCGGTGACAATGCTGGTATTGCCACTTGCCGCTTGGCGCAGAACGGTGTGGCGCCTCGCCCCGCCCCGCCCACACCTGCGCTTGCAACACCTAATAGATGATGAAGAGAGGGAGAGTCGCTGAGTCGCGGAGTCGTCGAGTCGCAGAGTCGCCGAATCGCTGCCTCGCAAGTTGTAAGTGCTCAAGTTTTTCAATTAAAAGTTGCTACACTTTGTGTGTTACTGCGGCGGCATAACATAAATACGCATGTGTGAGAGTTCCTATATCTAAGCGAGCATTTCCTGACTTTTGCCTAATCACGATGCCGCTGATATATCAATAAACCACATGGCAGGGCCAAATCGGATCCCGTGGGGTCTGCATTATAAATCAGCATAAACCAACAAGCAAAACCCAAGGAAAGCAAACAAACAAACAAACAGTAAATGACAGGTGTTGAAGTCGAGGGCATTATAAATTCATACGAAAAAATACCAAAACGTCAAACAAATTGCAAGTTTTCAGTTGCATTTCCGCAAAACGTAACTGAAATAATACGTTCGTTGCCAGCAACGCAGCAAAGTATGCAACAAAACCCGTGGCATAGTGCCCGACCCCGACCCCGACACCGGCTGCGGCTCAAGCTCCTCCTCCGTGGTTATCGGATGGCGGAGCACAGGGCACAGAGCACAGAGCACAGAGCACAGAGCACACGGAGCACACCGACAAATTGAAGGTAGGCCATGTAGCAGCCTGGGGCAACGTCTTCGACTTTCAGCAAGGGGAGCCCCACTCCCCCGACTCTGTGACCATCCCGTGTATGTGCGCCACTGCCACTGCCACTGCCTGTGCCACTGCATGTGCCACTGCCACTGCCTGTACCACTGCCTGCTCGCATGACAAGTTGAAATGTTGACGGCTCACTGACATTGTCTGCGCGTGTGTATAGGATGGGGCTGCATTAGTGTGTGTGAGCGACATGCATGTATGAACGATATTGTGGCTCGACGTTGCCGCTCAGCGCTGGAGAATCTCATACAAAGTTATGCAAATTCCGATCCGCTGTCGCTGCCGTGTTGACGTCGCTGGGGCTGTGGGCGTTGCATTGGTTTCTGCGGTTTTGGCATGCATAATTGTTGGTTTTTAGTTACACGTTAGGCGGCGGCCCTACAGTCTCACTTTTTCCCCATTTTCCCCATACTCCTACTCGTACTGGTACTGGTACTCGTACTCGTATGTGCACCTGTTATTTGTCCGCTGTAATTGTGAGGCTTACTTGCAGTTTGGCTGTTGATAGCATTTAAAAGTGAGTTACGCAATGCAGATAAATATACGGATTCTCCACATTATTATACTCTATATCCTCGCACTAAAGTGCACAGAAGAAATGATCCCACTTTGCAAGCCCTTTAACGATTTTTTTGATATTATGTATATCTTTTTGTGGAGTTCAAATTGTTCTATATGTAGTTACTCTCAAAGGTGAACGTTCCTTGTACAATACACCAAAAAAATAGGCTCTCTCTTCTTCCCACTCATCATTGGAATACGCGTATGAAGCACATTGAACTCCTTCGAGTATTCTATTTTGATTGGAAGCCATTCATAATTTCGGGTAATTCGAAACCCCAATCTTATAGCTGTGATAGATTGTAAATCACATACGAGCAGAACAATAATCATTTCTCAGACATTTGCTATTTTTGTTTGCTCTGCTCGGTGGCTACAGGGGCTACAGGGGCTACAGGGGCTCCGGGGCTTGGGGCTATCATCAAAAAACAATTCTCTGCGTTGCGTCCGCAGAATAATGGACGTTAGGCCGCGCGTCTTGATAAGCTAAATGATAAATTGTTTTTATCCGTGACATATGTATGTACGTGTACGTGTGTGTGCCTGCCCCTGCATGTGTCATGTGTGTGTGTGTGTATGGAGAACTTGTTACGGATGCTGGATGCGTAAGTTGTGTGGCTTGCTGAGAGAAAGTTGTTGGTCGGTTGTTTTGTGCTCCGCTTTCAATGAAAAAAGCACAGTGAATTGGAAGGAAAACGCCGGAGTTGGGTGGAGCCGGGTGGAGCTGAAAAACAAGCTCGGAAAACTTGTAAATGCGCTTGGGCACAAAAGTGGAATCTAATAAGCTCACGGCTAAATGTGTTATGATGAATGACATTGTCAGCCGCACACGGAATTTAAAAGTTTGTATGCCCGGAGACCACCCGGAGACTTCCTCCAGCACGGCTTATAATTGAAAACTCCAGTTTGGGCCTCTGCCTGAATTCCGGCTATGGATGATGGCTTACCACGGACTCTGCTTCTACGACTCTCTGGCCTCTCTGGCCTCTCTGGCCTCTCTGGCCGCACAGCTAATCAACTAATACAACATTTTCGTATTCATTCATTAAATTAAAATTTCATCCCGCTCATCTGGTTTGATTGCCTTGCGCCTAAGTGCGGACGACCCATCCCCATCCCCATCCCCAACCCCATCCGCTCCTGCGGCGGCTAATACTGTGGCTTCTGCCAGTCCCAGTCCCAATCCCAGTGCCAATCCCAAGACCAATCGCAACTGTTGGCACTCTCCAGCTTCCTGGATTGTTTGCTTATTTGCTGGCTTCTGACAGGCATGGCTGACAGTCGCATCTCCGGCTCAGCGTTGCTCTGGCCCTGGCCTCGTGCATAAGTATCTGTATCTGTATCTGTAGGTGTATTTGTATTTGTATCTTTATTGGTATCTGTATCTGTTTTACCGCTGTGGCAACGACCAAATCCGGACCCAGAAAACCTCCCCCCTCCCTCAACGAAACTATGTGCTGTGCTGCCTTGCCATTGAAATTCATAAAGCATCAATGGCTCCGCAGAGCATCGAGGGGCGCGTGGCTCTTTTTGTTTGAAATCATTTGCTTTAATTCAAGTGAAAAATTATTTAAATTGGTTATCAAACGTGCGGCTCAGACAAACATCGATGTGACTACGGATGCAGATACAGATACAGATACAGGACGAGATACAAATACAGGTACACGTGGCATAGACTTTCGTTCATTTTTTGGGGGAATGGTTGGGGCAGCCGCAGCGGCAGAATTTTCTTTGTTTTTCTGCCCTCCATATAAAAAGCTTTGCTGCCGGTCTGTGCCATTTTTGTGTGGAAATGAAAATTGATTCCAAGCTAAATGAAAAATATTGATCAAAGTAATTTCTTGGCATTCTCGCCCACGTAGATGAATTCGTAATATTTTTTATTTAGTGAAAAATGTATGGGCCACATCAAATATTTTTCAATGGCTATAGAAGGCAGTTGAGTCTGGCTCCAAGGGGATTTGTCGATATGCCAGAAGTGTTCAGCTTCCTGTTATCCTTATATATGTATATCAATGCGTGTTTATGGATATTAATATTTCACGGCCATATACTCGAGGCCAATTACACTTGATTGCATAGGAATATATATTTACAAATACCTTTCAGAGCGCCCAATGTCAAACTTTAATTGATCAATCAGTACATCAGCTCGGATAGTTCTTATTAGGGATTGTCCACTCTTCTTATAAGCAAACAAAAAATACTCCTCTCAGCATACCTTCCACGTTTCGATGGTGCACATTTTTTCTCTAAACACTCTCTAATAAAACCATTTTCAGTGCATTCGATAGTTTAGTTTTTATTATTTCGTATTATTTATTTAAGTTATATTATAATTTATTTCTGTTACGCTCTTTTCATTTCATCATATTTTATCATAGTTTAGGCTTACGACTAGAGGGTTCTGTTCTCGTTCTCGTTCTCCGCTTCAGTTTTGATTTCACTAAATATATATAAGTATAGTATGTTACTATAATGCCGTCTTCTGGCTGACTCCATGCCATCTATCCGTCCGTTTGTGTTCTGCTTTTGTTGTTTGTGGTTTGTTGTTTGTTGTTTCTTGTTTAAATTAATACCTTAACTGTCGTTACAATTACATTTAATTACAATACAATGTTTTAGTTGGAAATGCATTGATTAAATGCAAAGAAATTATGTAACTAACTATAATTAGAATTTAGTTAAGTATCCGTATTCGAATTTCAATAATTTACGAATATTCCATACATGACACGATTGCGGATATATGTATGTATGTATGCATGCTCTTCTGTGAGTGTGTGTGTGTGCTGGGTTATGGCTATATTTAGTTTAATTAACTTTTTTTATCATCGGATGCATATAAAAACTGGATCCGAACTTGGATTTCGAGTATTCGTTTGAGTTGCGCGCTACACTGTAGAAAATCTCCCTCTGACCTAAGAAGGACTCTGTATAGAAAACGTTCATAAAACATACGCTGTAGTTGCAAGTATATCCTACGAGTATGTAAGTTCTTATAGACAGGATAGAGTGGGGAGTGAGATGCATGCGATAGTTTAAAAACGCTTTCGTATCGTTCGTTCCTTCGGTTCCTTATAATTACACACACTTAGAAGTCTTGTGGCGAAAAAAAAACACATTTATACACGCATATACAGAGTCATGTGGGATATGGGTTGTAGGATGGGGAATGTTCCCCGGGTGCACTCCCGTACGAGCTAAGTAGGAGACTAATTTGGCCAGTAATGCGTATGCCCAGACCCTGGAGGCCTCTGGGCTCTTCCGTCTTGGTAGTGATGCCAGTGATGCCGTTGCCTTGCCCTGGCCCTTGCCCTTGCTCTGTGATCGAACTTACGTAATTACAAAAAATTGCATTATTAAGTTACGGCTAACATTAGGTTACAAAGTACAAATTACAAACTACGAATACGATTTCCTGCTTCAAAAAAAAAAATTTCTCTTGCCTTGTACTGAACATAAAGTACATATGATATACATATATATATATGTATATATATATATCTCCGATATATATATGTGGTATGTATCGTATTTCGAAATATATATTAGGCATTACCTACGAGTAGTATTTATGTGTACGGTAATATATTGTACGAGTATGTGTTTATATGCATCCTCCATCTGTCGTCTGAGTATTCTCTTTTTGGTTTCTGTTTGGAATTCGCTGATTATATGCATGGCCATGATTTACGTTTACATTTAATGTGGGTGTGGTATGTCTGTGTCCGTGATTTGCCTTGTTCTGGTTCTGGTTCTTGTTCTTGTTCTTGTTTCTGTTGTGGTTCTCGTTCTGGTTCCTGTTTTATGTATGAGAATGGTTTGGTATTGTTCTTGCTGCGACCCCGCGCTTACAGCAGTAAATCGTCCAAATGCGCTGCATACTCCTCTGCTGTGCGGAACTCCAGATTCTGGCTGCGACTGGGACCACGACTGTGACTGTGGCCATAGCTGTGACTGTCGTGTGGGGCGGGGGGAGGGGGGATAATGAGCAAAGTTTGGGCGGGCCATAAAACGTTAATGCCAAATCAATAATGCCAAACCGTACACGTGTAACTACCTGTCGCTGGCGTCCCGCTTCTTCCGCTTCCGATCCTGAGAGAGGGCCTCCACGCAGAGCACAATCAGCTTGCCATCGCAGGGCTGGCGCTTCTGTTCGAGCAGCTTATGGCCTGCCAGATCGCTGGCGTACCCGCTCTTGTCGTGGGCACTCGAGTGCCAGGCGTCGCAGTATGTGTCCATGGAGCGCTCTCCATTGGGCAGCGATCCATGCCAAACCATCTTCAAGGGCCTGCAGTTGAAGAGAATGTGAGCAGCTTCTTTGGGAGATAACGAACCGTCTTACCATAGCGGATCCGTCATCACATTCTTGCCGCTGAAGCTGTAGATGCGCGGCGCCTGGGAGAAGAAGCCGCCCTGTCCGTTGAAGATGCCCTTCCACGAGTTGAAGAGCACATCGCCGCGCGTGTTCACCACGGGCAGGTCCCGGTCAGCCGGACGGACAATGGAGTCCAGGTTCTGTACCCTGTGGGCGAAAATCAGCGTTTCATTTATGTGCTAGCTAGTAATGCAAGGAGCAGGTTATGGCCATCATACGAGCGGCAATTACATGCGAGCAAACAAACGGCCATCAAAAGAAGTCTAAGGGGCAGGTGCCGGCGCCTCACTGCGTGCGTTTCCCGCACCCCCCTATATTCGCTTATTTATTCATGTTTTTCCTTCATATATTTAGCGCCTCCCTGCCTCCCTGCCACCCTGCCAGCCTGCTTGCCGAAGTACTCGTACTTCCCATTCAGCTGGCGCTGTGTAAATAAATTGCACGAAATTGTTTTCAGAAGCTTTTGTTCATATTTTGAGCCCTGTTCCCCTTGGCTCTCGCCCAGATATCAAGATTATGCGTCAACTAATGAGTTTCCCGAGTGTCGGCTGAGCCACGTGGCGTATGAGCGATGCCGAACACGGCTGGTATGGCTGTACGCTCGGATTGCGAGGAGGCTTAATGCCAGAGCCAAAAACTAAGCATGAAAACACGGCTAATACGCGTACAAAATCTAGAAGAAGATAAGACACACTCGACGCGCTACTCACCTGGAGGAGAGGAACGCCTTGAAGGTGCCCAGCAGACCGGCTCGTCTCCCCTGCCGGTAGCAGGCAAAGTCCGCGCCGCGGATTCCCTGCAGGTCGCCGACGGAGGGCTCGTTCAATGCGGCCACGCGGAGCTGTTCCAGCGAAGACGGTGGCGGGGCAGATGTAGATCCAGGAAAATATGTCAGGAAATTAATGCGGAATTTATGTCAAGCATTTTAAGATCTAATTAATACAGAATTTAATAGCCAGAAATTGTTTGAGTTTGAACAACAAAGGTCTTTGGCCAACAAAATTGTGGGGGCGGTGGGGGGGACTTGAAAAAATGATAAGTGGATGTAATGGATAGTAAAATATTTCAAATAATTGCCTGCATGCGGCCGGGGGGAATACGGGATACGGAATACGGGATAGAGAAAATAATTAAAGCGAAACTCAGGGGAAAAACACTCAAGACGGAGAGGAGCACAAGGGTCGATTCTTAGGTAATTGAAATTCAGGACTCACCATTCGCGGATACCACTAGAAATGTGATTTTAATTACATATTTTAAGGCATTTCGTTGGTAATCCCCGTTAATTTTGTTTGGAAGACGCAGCCGAGGAGTGTGGGGCAAAAATATGTTCAATTTAGTAGAGATAGAGATGGATATTCATAATGAAAGTTTCGCATTCTAACACCAAGCACAGGAGGAGAGGAGTTGGAGCTCTCAACAACCGTGATCTGTGCTTTCATAAGAGATGCGCTGAGAACAAAGCTTCAAGGATTACGATTACCCAAAACAAATGACAAAAAATTCAATCAAGAAGCGTCTAGTTAAAAAGCAAATCATCCAACATACATATACATATAGTACTAGTACATATAAAACGAGTTTCAATATGGATAAAAGACGGTCTCAGTCTCCACTGGATTGGTCGAATGAGAACACAAAACCGCCAATGGGCGTGGGTGGGCGGAAAAAACACACACAGAGAGAGTGAGAGACAAAAGCAGACAGAAAATCAAACTACACCAATTGTTCCGTGTGCAACAGAACTCAAAATGCAATTTCGCTAATTAGAAATATTTTCATTGACCAGCAAACAAAATCAAATTATTTATTCAACAAGAGAGTGTGTGTGTGTCTGTGTCTGTGTATGTGATTGTGCAGGAGATGCGTTAATTTTACAATATTTCGAGTTTTTCGAATTGGTTTTTGGTTGGTTACTTTCACTCTACGCTACGCTACGATACTGTATGCCATATGGTATGCCATATTATGGATTTAATTACCGTTTCGTATTCGGGCGCGGTGGTAAACTGCATTTAACGATAATTAATTATAGATAGGTTTAGTAGGGTTTATTAACAACACTGCTTCGCATTTGATATGGAATTAGAAACAACACTTTTGCCTTTCTTATAGATAAGTATGGATAGTTTAGAGGATGGATAGCTTGGAGTTTCTCAGCTGAGTCCAAGTTTTTGTTAGAGACACCTCAGCGGAGTAACGACATTCATGCAGACAAATCGATACAAGTGTTTGCCCTTGACCCTTGATGCGCGTGAAGGGTTGAGCAGCGCGATTCATGAATTATTCATATTTCAACGAGGAAAAGTCGAGTACAATTAACTCTCTCTCGCTCTCGCTATCGCTCTCCCCTCGAATAATATACATAATTCAAAGGGAATCACAGATGGGACTCTGATTTCACAATCCCATTTCAAGCACTACTCAATTGTTCTCTGCATCAATGCCATTATCCGATGTGACAGAATGTAAAATATATGTACATATGTACATACGCGCATATGTGCATATGTATTTTGTTTGTATCGTAAGCAACAATGGGGGCACTCACCGTGGGCGTGTTGAGGGGGGGTGGTGGACTGTTCAGCAGGTTCTTCGATTGCAGGTCGAAGCGCATTGATGGCGCCACCGTGGTGGGCGGGGCGGGCGTGGCGATCGGCACCAGGGTTCCCAGCTGCGTCAAATAAGATGGAGGAGACAAACGGGAATTAAATGTGAAAACGTAATTAAGAGGCTGGCAGACAAACAAGCGTTTGATGAATTTGTAATTAATAAAACAAGAGCTCTGCACAAATATCCTTCCGCACAAGCACCGGCATCATCATCAGCATGGGTATCGTCATCGGCGGAGACAACGACAACGACAACGACAATGCGAACGACAACCCTTTCAAAGTAGTTAATATTTCAGCAAGGACAAGGAGCAAAGAGCCCAGGACTCGCCCCATTATGAGATGAAATCAGTGCTCTTGTATTGAAACTTTTGCTCAAATATTTGCATTACGTGTAGGGAAATATGTAGCAAACAGCTCCAGTCCTGCGCTCGCTTTTTTGTACGGAATTAGGGTCAAATTTTCGACTGCCATCCCTCCCGAGTGTCGTGCCATAATGCGCGGCTCGGGTCTGTCCCCAAGTCTGGCTTTGGCGCTGTCGCAGCCGCCGCCGCCGACGCGTCGTCGTCGTCGTCGTCGTCTGACAAAAGTTTTAATTACTATTTTGAACTTTAAGTAGTCGACTCGTGTACTGAAATCTAATTAGACTGGCGCCGCCTCGGCTACAAGAAAGTACGACTACGAGTACAAGTATCTCGGGCAGACAGCTACAGCTGTGTAGGGCCCAGACGAATCCGAAATGCAAATGCCAGTTAGTAGGGCAACAAAGGGGCTTTGCTCCGGCTCGATTTTGCCGTATTACGAGCACAAGTACGAGTAAGAGTAAGAGTATGAGTAAGTGAGTACCCTGCACCCTGACAGTTCATGGTCCTGCGTTGGGGTTTTTGTTGTCAAAAAGTATTTAAATGCTGCCGTCAAAGGCAAGAGACTTCAGTTTCATTCGGGGGCCGTCTTATGCACATGCCAGGCACAGTTTGCCAGGAACAGGGAGCCAGGCGCCAGGAGCCAGGAGCCAGGACCAGCTCTGTGCCCTGCCCCCGCTGTGCTGGCTTTTGTGCTTGCATCAACGGAAGCGGAAATCGAATCTTGAGCAGTTTTTTCCTTTCTTTTTTTTTTTTTTTTGCTACCCAATTCCGAGAATATTGTACATTTTAGGCACAAAAGCTGGCACTAGTTTTCTCTTTCATTTTCCGTTCTCCATTTTTAGATTTCAATAAAGACGCAAGCAGCAGAAATTGTGGCCACTTTAATGTTTAACAAGCTTCTGGGAAATCGAGCAATTTTGCGTGTAATTTGAGAATCCTTCACAAATGCTGAGCGTGGCAAATTGCCATGTAGCATAGCAGGGTCCAGTGTCCAGTTTCCAGCGGCCAGTGGCAAGTGGCTAGTGGCTAGTGGCAAGTAGCTGTTCACCTTGGCCAGGACCCACAGTGCGCTGTGGCGACAGGCAAGATTAATTGGCTTGTGGCACTGGCGAATTTAGGGTGTAGGAAGTAGGATCCTGCCTCCCTGCCCCGAGTGTCCAAGGGACGATAATAAAACCTTCGATTTCCGTTTAATATTATTTTTAATCTGCTGCGGCAGTTTATGACTCCAAGGCGGGTCCCCCCCGATCGCTGGATGCATGTTTTATATTTCGTCAATAAATGTTTGAAAGCTGCCTGCCGTCCGAGGGTCTGTGTCTTGTCCTGTGTGTAACATCGAATTGCCTGCCACATGCCACATGCCATATGTCCTTTGCAACTCCCCTTGAGTCTGACTCTGAGGCTGAGGCTGAGTCTGAGTCTGAGTCTGAGGATGTTCTTGTATCCGTTAACTGGGACAAGTGAAAAGCCAAGCTCAAGTCAATATAATTGAATAACGGGCCACACGCACCCAGACATCCCCGGATACGCACATTCCACATGCTCGTATGTGCGACAGTTGCGATTCCATGGGGCAATCAGTCCGTACGTCTGCAACATTTAATGTGCAAATAAAAAACGAGTCGACTCGAGTCGATTCGAGTCGATACAAGGGCAATGCCAAACAAACCTTATTTTATGGCAGCCAAGAAAAATAAATAAATAAATAAGAACGGAGAACGGAGAGGGGAGAGGGGAGAACGGGAACCGGGGATTGGGGACCATTGCTGGTGCCTTGGGTCTCCTCTTCTATTTTTATATGCATTTTATTCGGTTTTGTCTTGTGTTCGGTTCATGGGGCACATGGCCATAATGGAACATCACTCAGCCGCTCGGAGGTGGCTCTATAAAATAATAACCGCCCGCCAGCGTGCTCAGCGCTTGTCATATTTGGCATTTTAAAAGTGCCACCCGCTTTTAGCCTGTTTGCTTAGGAGCCAGAAATCAAATCCAGCTCCCTTCCTGGACCCAATCCCCAACCAAATCTCCAGCCCCAGCCCCGATCCGAGGACTCACCGCAATGTATTGCCATCCCTTGTTGACGCGCACAAGGAGCGCCTCCTCCTCGGTGATGTAGGCCAGTGTTCCAGGCGGGTTGAGTGCCGATTTCTGCAGAAGATACGTGCACGAGTATTTAAAGCGTTTAAAAATAAATGCGAGATTCCAAATTTATCCAAGGGAGGTTATCCGCCGGTCCCACCTTTGTCATTTCATCGATATTCTGGAAGGTGACTGCGCCGGGCACAATCTTCATGTTTATGTTCGACGATGAGGCCGAAAAGTATGGTTCCTCGCCCACTGCTGGCCCCAAGGCCTCTTCGTGCTTATGTGAGTGTCCCGGCTGGCGAGGAGCCTCTGCAAGGATGGAATGTGCATTATATGGACGCCCAAAAGGTCTCAAAACTACATTTTTTTTCGATTTCCCTGTGTTCTACATAGCTACAGTAATTTAAGAAACTTAATGGCACTACGATGTGTCGATTAAAAAAGAATACAAAATATAACAAGCGATACAAGATACATGTATCCAGCCTAAAGACTGGAACTGTCTGGAACACATTTAAATTTTCTAAAATTTATGAAATTAATTTGCAATGGAAAATAAATATATAACCACTGTTTCAAGCTAACATTTTAATACGGCATACGATACGGCAACCGTGGTTACAATAGATTTTGTACATATGTTATATATTTAACATGCTAACATTTAATTTCCGAGCTACAAAATGTTGTACATTTATTTTGTTTTCACTTCCATAGACCCCAAAATAAATAGCGAAATAAAAAGCGCAGATATGTTACGATTTAAACAGTTTTAGCATGAATAAGTTCTTGTTTTCTATTTCCACATAGGTATCACCAGGGCACAAACACACAAAAAAAGTATACCCAAAATATGGCAAATATATTCGAATTCCAGGCTACGAGTCAGTAAAACATAATGTAGGTGGCACATGACTCGTGTGCGTTTCCCGGAGAAACGAAAAAAGGCATGACGGTGTTAAAATACTCGAATACGCAAAGTGTTTACATGTTGTACTCTATCAACGGGGGAAAATGAGTTAATGATGATGTGCAAATATGGGAAGCAGAGCGCTCCATTCACTACGTGCGCGAGTGGGTGGGGTGTTGGGGCGGCATTCCGTGAAAGTGATAAAGTGGCAGTGGGAGAGGGAGAGGTGTGGCCCAAAGGGAAAGTCATGCTACGGGCACATTCAAATGACACGGGCATTCAAGGGGCTAATGCTACTAGGGCTACTGTGGATGGAGTTGAGATTTAGTGGGTTCGTTTACCGGCTGTGCCGTCGGGCCGATCGCGCAGATCTTGCAGCTCTCGCAGGGCTTTGAGTTCGTCTAAAGATGAGCGCGCACCTTGATGACGAGTACGATACAAATGAATTCGATTGATTGGTTTTTGGTTTTCTGTGGTTTGGTTTGGTTTGGTTTGGTTTGGCTCGGGCTAGGAGAATGCTAATTATGTACAGGTATTGTATGATTGTTCAAGGCACAACTACAGGCACCTAACTATTCTGGCACTGGACATATTTACAACCTGGCCCGACGCCTGCACGGCGGAGCCCACTCACCTGGTCGGCCGTAGTACGAGGCGTCGCCAAAGAAGCTCCGCGAGTCCATGCCCGGCTCGCCCTTGGGGCCGGTTATCGACAGTCCCGGCAGGCCGGGGGGTCCCGGGGGACCAGGCGGTCCAGCCATTGGTATGTACTGGACTCCACTGCTGTCTCCGTCCCCGCCGCCCGATGCGGGTAGTCCCGGAGGACCTGGCAGGCCGTCGCGTCCGTCCTGGCCAGTGTCACCCTTGTCACCTTTGGGCTGGGAGGAGACATGTCGTTTCGGTGATCGATCACCATTGTCCCGAAAGTAAACGGATTCTTGTGCACACTTACCCCTTCGCGACCGCCAGTGTCTCCTTTTGGACCCTTCGGTCCCATCTCACCCTTTGGTCCTGTCATGCCGGGTCGGCCCTGCGAATCGATTAAATCGTGGGATTATATGTTGAGATTCTTGAATGATGTCAGATCTTTGACTCTGTGCTTTGCCAGAGTGAACCTCAAACTTCGATGCCTCACCGCCGCGGCCCTTAGAGTTCTTAGAGGCTTCTCAGAGTTCATTAGATACGTGCAATTATTGAAATTACTGCAAATTACAGTGCCACAAATATGCTGTGCGAGCACGTAGCAAACAAAAATCACACTCGACTTGCCGTAAGTGGGAAAGTTCGGGTAAAATTATAAGATCATTGGCAGCAACGGCCGCACGAACGTAATGTCTGTTGCAAACGAGGCTGAGCCAAGGAGGCATCCGTAAGGCAACGGTAAGAGCCCACGCCTGGCCCACGCCTGGCCCACTAGGGCAAGTTGAACTATGGCCAAAATGGCCAAACTTTTGCCGTTTGGAGTGCAACAATTTTCTAGTCGCAATGCTTTTGTTTCCCCGTTGCTCGTTCCGGCAATTGAGCCAAAGTTTCCCTTTGGCCGCCACTCCGACGCTGCAGTCCATGTAAATACGTTGCTTGACTCTGATTTGAAGCGGTAAGCGATGCCAGTTGGCACAGAGAGGCAGGCACACGCGCCTGCCTCTCGATTCACTGACTCAGACACGGCCAAAAAGGAAAGTTACTCTTTGTTGCCACTGCCATGGCTGGAGCTGCTAGTGCCAGTGGCAGTGCCGGTTCCAGTGCCTCTGCTTTTGTTGCCACTGCTGTTGTTGCCACTGATGTTTCTGTTACTGTTTCTGTTGCTGTTGCTTAGTGTTGTTATTGCGGAATAATGGCGGAATTTCTGGGTAAACTGCAATTGGAATCGTGCACTGACTGCCTGCCTGCCGCGTCCTGAATAACCGTGATGAAAATGCACTTAAAATACTTTTCGTTTGAGTTTATTTCGCCAAGTTGAGTGCCGCTTTCGTTTTTGCATCTTCCTCAGTCTGGGCCCAATCCCAATCTCTTACTCTTACCCTGATTGTCTACATCGCGAATGCGGCCAAAAGCTGTCTGTCTATCTGTTTGTATCTGAACTCTTTCGCTTTCTCTCTCTCTCTCGCTCTCTCTCTCTCTCTCTCTCTCTCTCCGCATCAACAACAAAAGGAGGAGCAACAACAGCAGGGCCCAAATGGGTGAAAGCATGTGAAAGTTGGTCAGCCTCATGAATATGCAGGCAAAAGTTACGAGTAGCTCCTCTCCAGTACAGTGCTTACCGAGTGTCCAATATCGCCCATGGCTCCTGGCTTGCCAGGCGGTCCAATTGGTCCAGTGGATCCGGTGCCGCCGCGACGTCCTCGCATGCCCTTTTCACCCTTCTCGCCCTTGGTTCCGTTGGCGGAAAGGCCCTCGAGTCCGCCCGGCTGGCCAGCCTGGCCCGGGAGGCCGGGCAGTCCGGGAGTTCCTGGCTCACCGGGCTCACCCTTTGCGCCGTTGGACCCATGCGCACCTTTGTGACCCTAGCAGAAGGCGGGGCCGGAAAGAAAGCAAGTGTGTGAAATGATTTACGGGCTTAAATATACGCTACATGTGGCCCGAGGGGAATGGGAATGCGTATGGGGAAAGGGAAAGGAATCAGTTTAGGAGTGGAACGGGTATTGGGGATTGGGGTCTCGGGTACAGCCTCAGCCTCTCGCCTAATTTGGCCGTAAAACTCAATTTCAAACGTTTTGTCGACGACAGAAAAAATTCAATTCAAACTCATTTTGAAATCAAATCAATTCCGAAATCCCGCACCCACACACGCACCGCACCGCACCGCACCGCTTGGGGAAATTTATGCGCCCGAATGTATGCACCACAGCTCGGTGACAAGCCCGAAAACACAAAAACCATATTCCTTTTGGGTCTCCTCAGCTTCCTCCTTTGTGGAAGTTTGCAGCCCCATACCCCGCTCCGGCTTCTACCCAGCGGGTGTGCCGACTCGATTCATCCCCAGCGTCGTCTTCCACATCATCAGCGCCTTAAATGGTTCGCCATAAATTTGCACGCGCCTTCCCCAACATTTGGATTTGGTTGTGGAAGCAGCTCGGAGGCGGCTCTGAGGCGGCTCAAGCTTGTGGATGATCCGACTCCTGTTTTCCTTTCGGTTTGACCCACCCTGGGCCCAGACCCAGCTCCATCTCCATCTCCATCTCCATATCGCCAACTTAATACCAACTAATGAATAATTAATAAGCCACGCACACAGGCACACAAAGATACACAAGCACAAGCACACATGTACGAGTATCTGTGTGTAATTCGCCCTAACACAGTGCGCGCGAATGCTCCGGAGGCTGTCTTTCGAAGACCTCCAGAGGGAGGGTGAAGGTTAAGACTTGGGGATGTGTCTCTTTTTTAGGTTTAATGAAATGAACCTAATTGTGCGTGTATTCATACGTTTAAAATGCTAATTTCCATATTAGTTTTCCGAAAATTGTAGTGCAATAACGAAGCGGGATATGGGAGAGCGGAAAGAAACTTCCTTCCGCCTCCGCCTCGGCATCAGCCTCAGCCTCCCCTCGACAAATTGGGCGTAAATTTATCATAAAATCCGAATCGATTTTTACATAATGTGTTTCCACTGAAGCAGGAGGAGATTGTGAGGAGCTTTTTGCATAATTTCTTTTTATTTCACGCACGATTAATTCCGGGTGTGGCCACAATGGGGAAACTACTTAAAATAGGCCCTGCCCCGAGGTGAAGACTGGCGTAAGATTCTTTTGCCACAAGCCGCATATATATTACTCATATCAAAGGTCGTGTAAGTCTCTGGAGGCTCCAAATTGGATGGCTCTGCGGTAGGTGGAGGTGTGCTGCATCCGATTTCGAAGAGTAATCTGCGACACCGGAAACCGTCAGACAGGCCACCAGGCCGACCAGAAACACAAACAAACAGACGAACAGACGACCAAACATATTACGCGAGCCCTGTTGCCAGATTTAAGTTTTGAGGTTGCACATAAAAGAAATACGAGTGTGCACGCCCCACGCTAACGAGGGATAGAGCGAGGGTCCTAGGGCAACTATGGGACAACATCTGAGGGTGCAAAGCCACCCCAACTAAGCTGCTAAATGGCATACAGGGTAATGGCAAGGAAGTAAGCGTCGCCTAAGCAGGATGAGCTCCCCAAATGGCCAAAACTTATTATGAAAATAATGCCAACAAGAACTGAAAAGAAACGAAACGAAACGAAACGAAACGAAAGGACACGAAATAGTTAATGCTCACTGCTGACGGAGTGACTGCTTCCCAGCTGTATCCAGACTGTATTCAGGATCCAGTGTGTGACATGCCGATGCCATGCCACATCCAGGAACTAGTCCACACGGCACCCCTGCGATCGTATCCACTGAAAATCAAATGAGCTATAAACGCACACAAATTGTCCCCCGACCAGCGGGAATCATCAGATATCGGGAGCGTCTCAAGTGACGCATTTCGGGACTGGCTGCTGATAGATATTTATGTTCCAAATTGGGTATTTCCTGCTGGACGACCGCACAAATGACTGCGATGGCCATAAATATGAAAACGGGGAGGCGCCCAGCTGGAGCGAGACCCCGTGTAGCATCTAGCTCCCAGCCCGTGCCCCACGCCCCGCACAAAATATGACTGTTTATCAAATTGGCAACAATTTAGCTTGGAATCAGGGAAGTACTTAAGGGTTACTACCAGGCTATTCATTTGTCTAACAAGTATTTATAACATTTGGCTAATAACTGAGTTTTACCAGCGCAAATGCTCAGCAACTACTTTTGGTAGGCGGTTCAAGCACATCAGAAAAGTACAAGGGTTTCCTTAAGTATACCCTTTGGAGCGGACGCACTAATACGTGTGACACACACATACAAGCAGGGAATATTCCCCAACCATTTGCGCATTTGACCAGGAACAGCCAGCGACCTGCCCTGGCTGCCCTGGCTGCCCTGGCTGCCCTGGCTGCCCTTTTGAGGAGCCTCAAAATCAATTGAGCAGTCAATAGGGCAGAAATTATTATATATTTGAAACAACAATCGTGTGGGCGCCTGCACACTTTATAATATATATTATATATAATATATATTCTCGTACACCCACACACGTGCGCCGAGGGATACGCACATTGGACTATGAGTAGGAGGAGTATAAGGAATAGGAGTTGGGGAATACTTGGGCCATTTATTAGACATGCCCTCTGACTTACCGGATCGCCGCGTTCGCCCTTCTGGCCCGCTTCACCTTTCTCGCCGGACACACCTTTGGGTCCTGGCTGCGTCGTGCCTCGGAATGTGCCCATCGAGTTGACCATTAAGGACTCCTGTGTGTGTGTGTGTTGATGTGTGTGTGTGTGTGGGGGGCGGAGGGGGGAGAGACGGCAGGCATAGTAATTTGTTAAATATTTGCTTGTTGTACAATTTATTTTCGATACATGTATTCTGGGGCCCACATTTTTTAACCAGCAGCAGCGGGCAGCCGGCAGTCGGCAGCCGGCAGCCCCTTTTGACGAGGGACACATGCCGCAGACACACTAACATACAGATACGGCCGTATGGAGGTGTATCTACGGCGGAAATTTGATTAATGATCTTCCCCCAGATTGGGGGGCGGGGCTAATGATGCCAAGTGGTTCTAGTCCATTAAGTGTTGTGGCCATTGCTTACCCGGAGCCAACCTTTTGCCTTTTTTTTCTCATATATATTTGTCTTTTTTTTCTTAGTCGTTTTAGTTGTGGGAACATAAAATGGAATTGTTAAAATGGTTGTACCTTGAAAGTCCTGGTAGGATTCCAATTTATCTGTTATTTATGTGTTGATTGTTATATAAAATACATAATTTTCGATTCGATTTACGTTTAAAGTATACGATTATAGAGCAATGAGCGTGAAATTAGAGCGTATTATTAGATGAATTCACTTCGATGGCGAAAAGTATGAAATTAAAAGATACTCTCAAAATTGCAACTTTTACAAGACGAGGCACAATTATGGGGATATGGATAGATATATGTACATACATATACGGATATGTATATAATTTGATTTCTGAATAAAAGATCTGAAACAGACATGTCAACAATCAAAAGTCTCTCTAATAAACATAAAATATAAAAGCATTGCCTCCCCAAAGTCCCAAATCGTGGCTTTTAAAAACTTTTACGAATAAGAACGCCATGCGAAAATCGGCCATCATTCTACCCTATAATCACGATGCATACAAAACATTTAAATGTATAATATTTTATGTTTCTTGAAGTGTGACCCATATGGACCTTATTCTGATCCATATTTCGGGTATATTCAAATTCACAAAGCCATCGATAGCTGGGGGGGGGAAAAAGAAAACCAATTCCCTTATTGGCGAGTCTCCAGACACCGCTTACCCTGTGTATGTCCAAGGGGTACCACACCCTACAAGAGCAACAACAGAGGCAAGCGAAAAGCTTTTAAGCATCGCCACCAAAGGCCGGCTCTGCCACGATGATAATGATGATAAACCCTCCGACATTAAACAATGGAAGGGCCGCCAGACGCCAACAGGCAGGCTACAGTCGAGAGCCGAGAGACGAGAGTGTCTGATTTTTACTGCCGCTCCGTCGACCACAAGTAGCTTGACACTTTCATAAACGTAACAGTGCGATAATGATTACGGCCCGGTCTCCTCGTCACTCCCATGGAACTCTCCCCCAGTTAGACGGTGGGTTGAGTGGGAGCGTGGAGATGGGCAGAGGGGTAGAGGGGGAGAAGCCAACATACGGCGTTGAAATGCGGCGATAAAGCCGGGGCGGCAGGAAGAAAAGTTTCACTCTTGCATGAAAGGGTTAAGAGTGGCAGCGATACGGCCAGGATGCCAGGATGCCAGCACTGATGTGTAGGTGGGTTGGTGAGTGAGTGAGTGAGTGAGTGAGTGGGTGCCAGTATCTGTGTGCGTGTTACCGCATTTAACCGCGTGAACCGCGCGCCGTGCGCTGATAACGGTAATTGCCACAAGCTGGCTGGAGGTCTGGCAGCGGCAGTGGCAGCAGCAGCGGCAGCGGCATCGACATGCGGGGCCCCGGAATTGGGCCTGGAAGAAGCCCATGAGCTAGGGCTAGGCTTGACTTGACTTTGACTCGCGTGCTCGAGACGCTTACGTTTCAGGCATTTCGCAGGGAAATTGTTGATGTTGTTGTGGAATAACCTTTGCGGTTTTAAGATTATTAGCAGAGATAGACCATTTGTGGCAGCGGTGCCAGCGACAACGACAACGACAACGACACTGAAAGCGCCAGAACGTGCTCGCCAGCTCCTGTGGCAGGCAGCTCCTGGCTCCTCGCTCCTCGCTCCGCAACGACTGGCGTGACGCCATGCCCGGAATGGGAATGGAGCAGGTCTGTGCCCAATCCGAGTGGTAATTTTTCACAGTTGCTCTGGCTCTGCTCGCCAGGAAGGAAATTAGTTTAGGCAAATTGTGTGGCTTGTAAAACACGACGGACGTTTACCGCGCGCCCAGACCCAGACCCAGACCCAGTCGAGGGCCGTGCCAATTCATAAAGATGTGCGTGATTGAAAACAGACGGAGACCAGAACGAAGACGGATGGGGACCCGGACACCAACCTGCAAGGCTGCATTAACAAACGCGCCTCTGTTTGCCCAGTGTAAAAGGTGCAATTTTGAGTCAGAACCAAATCCAAATATAATAAAAAAAAAAAAAATTTTAAAAGTATATTATCCTCGGATTGTGACCGAATTACGAATACCCTGGTAATCTGGCAATATATTATTTTAAAAACTCTTTAAATTAACCTCTTAAAGAGAAAGGTAATTTCCACTGAATGCATGGTTTTTTTTTTACTTTGATCTTTTTAGGAGAAACAATATTACCAGGGTATTATGCAGCTTAAAATTCTTAATACTAGATGAAATACTTACTGAGACTTAGAACTCTGGCTAAGCCAAAGTTTGTGGGTGTTTCAGAGGGCTTATACATATATGACAAAGAAATATTCTGCCACGCTGATAAGACTACTTTAATCAAGATTTAGTTGGTATGTTCCATTGGGTATACTTATGAATATATTATTTAATACTGAGAGATGATGTATATTATTTAGATGTAATCAAAGAATAGGACAAGCAGAACGACAACTCTGTAGTAAAAGTTATTATTTTAAATTATTAATTTCAATATGTAATCGATAGCATTATATCCTAAGCTGTATGCTAAGGTTGGGCCTTTTGTGGATTTGAATTAACTATTCTGGCTACTGACATCTTATTGGTAGATTATGCTCCACATGAAACACCCATTGCAATAAGAGTATTCGTTGAATACTCGTACATTCATTGTTTTACAATGACGGCGTATTCGCATCTTTATAGTAATTTAAATAGGTTATATCTTGAAGGATACTTACATCGTAGTTCTCTGGCAAACCAGGCGGGCCTGCTGGTCCCGGTGGACCCGCGACTCCGGGCAGACCATCGACGCCTGGCTCGCCCTTCTGTCCCTGGGCACCTTCGGATCCCCGGGCGCCTCGAGCTCCAGGCACGCCGGTGGCTCCCTGGATAAACGTAAGCGGAAATATAGGAGAAGAAAAGAGAAGCGGGGAGGAGGAGAATGTCGCCGGCAGCGACAGAGAAATAAATCACATTAGTGGGCGTGCATATAGTGCTACAAGTCTACGTATCTACGTATCGGTCTACGTCTACGGTTTCTAAGGGGTCTAGCTGGTGGCTACAACATTTGGCCACAAGCATTTCAAAGGACTCTTCTGGGCCAGGGCTGGGCCTGGGCCTGGGCTTGGGCCTGAGCTTGGGCTTTAACTGGCCGTGTGGCCGATTTACATAATCGTTGCGATTCAGTCCGAGCTCATTAATCTACGCGGGCCCTAGACCGGGGCTGGGCCCGTCCTGGTCCCGTCCTGCGGTTTGGGCCAGGGACTTGGTTGGGCATTCCAATAGCGGCAGCGACATGGATGGGTACACAAAAAATGTGTCTCCGAATGTTCTTAATCTTATGCAAAATGGTCACGCTGTGAGCCATTTGCGTGCCTCGCTCGGTCCGTGCTCCTGTTCTTGTCGTTCTTGTCGTTGCTGATGTTGGGTTGTAGCTGTTGCTTATCGTCGTCTTTTAAATTAATTGCTATTAGTTAAGGGATTAGCAGTAGGGCAACAAAGTTGTCGCAGGAATTTCCGGTATGCGCGCCAGCTGGCCATATTTCTCAGCAAGCGAAGCCTTTGGGACTGGGACTGGGCCCGGACAAAAACCCGATGGGTGGGTCAGCAAAGTACTGGGTTGACTTAGAAGACATTCCCTGCGGTGGGGATAGGATAGGCATAGGCATAGGCTGGGCATAGGCTCGGAATATTTCCCTAGCTGTTAGCTGCTTGCGATGGACCGCAGAATGTCTCGCTGGCATACCGCTTTCCTTTTGATGTATTGCAGTGTATTGAAGAGGCTGCGTTCCACAGGTTGCTAGAGTGGCCCAAATGAGGACAGACTGTTTCAGATTGGATGGAGAGTGTAGAGTGTACAGTGTAGAGTGGATGGTGGATGGTGGAAAGAACTGGGCAAGCACTCTGTCTTTGGCTTCCTTTTGCTTTTTGAATAATTCCTAGAGTAATGGACATGAATTCAACATTTTGTAGGAAGGTCTTCTTATATTTTCGGTTAGCTTCTCAAACTTTGGCTCTGTTGCGTGATAAGCACTTAAGTGAGTGGAGTGGACTTAAGAGTAGAGTGGAGCAAAGGCCAGGCAGTCATCTTGTTGTAACATTGTGGACTTTGCCTTTGACCCGCACACACACACACATAGAGACAGAGACACAGAACCATAGAGGCATGGGAGAAAGAGGTAGAGTGGTGTACACATCACATGAAGTAAATGGAAAGTACAGTCAAGTGTAGTTCAGACAGACCCCTGCCCCACTCACACCCACGCAGCCATAGACACAGCCGTAGTCCCTTTGTGCGGACGTACGGAACTCTTATGGTTACCAAAGACGTTCTCAGTTGATGAGATAATATAACGAGTAGCACCCGGAGAGTGGATAAGTGTTTAAGCGTGAGCTGGCGCATAAAGAAATTTTCGTTACGTTACGATTCGTTCCATTTTCATTTTGTCGTTTTCTCGCTTTCTTCTCATCTCTCTCTCTCTCTCTCTCCCTCTATCACACTCTCTTTATGTGTGTGTGTGTCTCTTCCTATCTCTGTGTGTGTGTGTGTGAGTGTGTGCGTTAACGTTTTTTCCATTTCCGGTTACACGCACAGGCACACAGACAGACACCAAACACATCTCCACTCCATTCCACTCCACGCAGATGCACAGTGCAAATTATGATGTTTGACATAGGAAAACATCGAGGGAGTGGAGCCCCTTTAGGTCCGGCCAGCCGTCCGCCATCCGCCACCAGGCACTCTCACTCTTGAAGATTAGACGATGTGTGTAATGAAATTGAAAATGTGTTAGATTCATGTCAAATATTGCCTTTTAGGCAACCCGTTGTAGCTCGGAATTGCCCCACATACACACAGAACACAGATGATGAGCGGACTCCGTCCAGGGGGAAGGGAACGAGATGTGTCCCAGGATATGGGCGAAGACAGTGCGGCGGCTCTACTTACGGTGTGACCAGGGGTGCCTGGCTTCCCGTCCTTGCCCTGCGTACCGGGCGCACCGCGCAACGTCTCCCGCAACGACTCGTTGTCCTTGATGGCTTCTAGGATATCAGACGCATTACATGTACATTCGCCAGTGTATTTCTGAAAGAGAGAGAAGAATCAGCATTTCGTAGGGATCACATTACCAGGGCCATGCCAACGGCCAACGGCAAATATTTCCCAATTTTAATATTTGGATACTCACAGCCCCCGCACTCGTTGTCTCGACAAAGGGTGGATAGGCAGCCGCTTCGCCCTTGGGTCCAGGTGGACCCGGCGGCCCGGGGGGGCCACGTATACTGTCGCCCTTTGGTCCGCGCTCACCCTTCTCGCCCTTGATGCCGCGATATGCTGCAAGGATTAAAGCGGAGTGGAAATGGAAGTGGAAGTGGAAGTTGCATTAGCATATCTCCTAATTGGGGTCCAGATGAGGTCTGGCACTGCACTTACGTCTCTCGTGCGTGTACTGCGTCTGTCCTGGGGGCTGCATGCCACTGGCGTCGAAGATGTCCGTTGCCTGTGGACGGAGAGGAGAACGAATATCGTTTGCTTATTGAAAACTCATTAAGACGTGAGTGCAAATAGTTGTTGCATCGATCGATTTTCCCCGCTCCGCCTCCGCCCCCGCCTCCGCCGCCGACTCCGTCTGCGAGTCTGGACCTGGCAGTGAGCCAGAGCCAAATTAACTTATAACTAAATATAAATATTTAATTATGCAAAGTGCAGTCGACAGTCGACCACAGTGTTGACCCACACTGACCGATTCTGGCCCTGGTTTTATGGCTCTTTCAAGAGCACTGTCAATAGCAATACCAAAACAATGCCACTGCAAACGCATTTCTCAATGAGTATTACACTGCAATTTGCTCTATTTAATTGTACTCTTCTGGCACTGCTTTTTTGCGGCCAACCCCAGACTAACCTCATCCGCGGAGGACCAAAAGTCATCGCTTAAAATATTCAGTTCCGTAGACTCTTCGAAGGGCTCGCCCTTAGGACCAGAACGAACAGCCAAAGTGGGGAGGGAAAAAAGTTGAAATTATAGTGGGAAAAACAAAAGATTTCAATAGTAAAACATACCGCTCCAGATCCCTCATCGAGGAAAGAATCAAGATCCTTCAAAATACAAATAAAAGTGGAAAGAAATCAAATTATAAACGAGGCAAAATAATAAATACTACAAAACATAAATGAAAATGTAAGACGTTGGACAAATTATGAGAATTTAAATTAAATTAAAATGGTATTTTTTTTTAAATTATTTTGGATTGGAGTTTTTAAAAATGTTGTGGTAAAAATATCCTCATATCAGAATCATCAATTTTGACTGCGAAACTAATTAGCAATAAATTGGACGTTTTTGTAGTGTTTTGATGAGGCAAAATAGATATGAAATTAATATGCTATTCCTTATTTGGGAGGTAATATCATCACTAATACCATATCACAGGAGTAATCGGACAATGCATGGCTTCAACTAATCCTATTTTCATATTCTGATGCCTGACACTTTGGGGAATTCACAATTTTGACTTTAGTCCGCTTACATTTAATTTGCATGCCATAGAAGTCTATCTGATTACACATTGTTTGCAGTGTTCTGAATAAATACGCCCAAATCCAATGCAAATCTTCTCTCACTTGTGTGGACATAATGCAATTTTAATGTAATTTATCAGATATGATAAGATGATTTGTCTGGCTATTCATTAATTAATTTAAATCCAAATCATTGCATTTCATTCGGTTGGTTCTGTGGCTTTACAGCCGGGCGCAAAGGATGACTTACCGCTGCGGTTGGGGCCGCCGTGGCCTTTGGGGGCGGCATACATGTGACGTTTATGGCATCGGGATTACCATAAACATTGATTTTTTCTAAATAGCCCTGCGTGGAAATATTTGTATTACATTTAACAGCCGTATCCGCACTTCAGTCGAATATAATGCAAGTGGAATAGTTTTCGAAATGCTTTCCCATCGAGCAGCACGCACTCATAGCCCACTCACTACCCACTCCCCACTCCCCATAGATACGCACATGAATACATAATAAATCAATCAATTTGTATGGCATTTAAATAAATATATGCATATGTATATTATATGCATGTATATGTTTTTGTGTACGAGTAAATAAGTAGAGCTAAGCTCGATGCCAAATGCATCGTTCAGCACTCCGTTCATCGTGGATAAGGCAACTCCCATGACCACCATCCCATTACCGAGAGACCCATCGTAATTGCTGCAAATCGAAATTTATTATTGATGTTAATTTGCAACAGTGACTGCCACCGGGGCCGGGGCAACTAATGTGCCGTGGTTTCGGATTTAGAATTACAATTAAGCATGCATATTTCACATTAGCTCGGTGGTTCTGCAGCTCTGGATCGGTAGCGAGCTTCCCGGAACGGTGTAGGGCAAACATCCTTGCTCCTTGAGGTCGGGATCTGAGCCCAAACAGAGACAAACAGCAGTCGGAATGCTAACCGCAGATACTAAATGCTGCATGCAGCATACATACGGTATGTATGGCACAGGACAAGGAGTACAGAGCACCGAGTATAAACTGCAACCAGTGGCAAGACAATGAGCCACAAACAATGCGCACAAAAGCAGACTCGGGACCTGGCCTCCCTTCATCCCTGGCCCCAGGCTCACTTCCCAGAGATAGAGACACAAATGCTCAATGCACATTTGCCCTGCAAATAAAAATGGCAGCAAACACTCAGGCACAGCCCCAGCACCAGCAGCAGCAGCAGGTCCAAGACCAGGAACAGGACCAGGCCCGGGACTAGGACCAGGATCCAGGCCCAGACCCGACTAAGCCACCATAATAGCAGTCAGTTATTGTTGTTTCTGCTGTTGCTGTTGCTGCTGCTGCTGCTGTTGCTGCTACATCTGTGAATGATAGTAATGGCCGAGGAGCTTTTATGCTGCTGCTCAGTTAAAAAAGTTTTGTCTGAGACGCTAACTCGTTGAATTTGGGGCTAAAAGCGTGCTGGCAAGGCTCACAATGGCTTAATATGCGGCCAAGCGGAGGCAGAAACACAATCCTAACCCAGAATTCCTCTGTTTATGCGCCCTCCAAAGTTCGGATTCCCCAAAATACACTTACGAAACGGACGGGGAATCACTTTAATCCAAAGAAACGCTTCTGCAGAAGATTCGCTATCAATTAAATAGAATTATCTCGAATGCGGTACAACTGAATTTTTAATTTAGATGCGGTTCGGGGGAGCAAACTCGTGAAATTTGTTCATTTTCTGCGCATAAACGAAACCGCACACTGAAAGCGAGTGCGATAGACAGATTAAATGGTATAGGGCACACACACACAAACACACACACACACACGTGGCCCATCAATAGACATTGAAGTGAGCATTGTCCGCCGTATAGCTTGTTGCTGTTGTGCCATTGAGCACGGATATTAAAGTTTTCGCTTTGTTTCGGGCTCTGCTTTGTTTTCGGGCTAAGAAAACTATGCGCTAAACAAATGGCAAACCGGCGAAAATCACTGGACGAAGAGGCAGAGCATGAAAGCAATGTCCGTGTCCGTGTCCGTGTCCGTGTCCGCATCCGTGTGGCCCAGTTTCCATTTCAGCACGTGCTTTTGGCCAAGTCAGGTATGTGTTTGCGTGTGTATGTGTGTTTGTGTGTGGGCAACAAAATTAGCAGCAAGGAAATTCACTTGAAACGGAAATTAAGTAGCAGGAAGTGGCATTTTTGGGCGGCGTGAGTCCCCGTCGCGGTAGCTGTCCTTGCCGTTGGCCCAGGCTCTCATTATTACCTGCATTGTTTGCCCCAAGTAAATCGACAGCAGTAACCATTACGAAAAGAGCTCCTGGAATGCACTTTGCCAACATTTTCCATGAAAAATTCCTCTGGCGAACACTGAGAACACATTCAGGCTGCGGGTTCCAACTCCTTGATGGCCATTTGAGGAATTCAGGGGTAAAGGGCCTTTAATGTGCCCGGAATCTTATTTTGCTAAGCATATAATCTTTTAAATTTTAAAAATAAAACTATAAAATATACTCTGTACCGATAACCAGTTAATTAATTGATTAAATAGTGCATAAAGGTACAAATTAAGTATTATTTGCCCATCCCTCTCTTGCCCTCTTTGCGTGTCCGCCCACGGGAGCTTTCACTGCAAACCAAGTTTTTCCATTACGAGTTATCCCTTATTGCCATGTGAATCTGGCAAAGGGAAAACTATCTCTTCATCTCTAAAGGGACTTAACCTCGGCAGCAATGAGAAGAACCCTTTTCGACCGATTCTCGAGCATGACAGAATCCAGGGCGATGAACTGATAAGAGGACATCAAAGCTTACCTCTTCCACAATATTCTGCAACGGCAGAATAGCAGAACAGCAGATCAGAGGCAGAGGCAGAGGCCGAGGCAGGGGCAGTGGCAGTGGCAGACTCAGTTGGACCAACGAAAAGGCACAAATAAACAGGGACTGGCGGGTCGAGAGACAGAAACAGAGACAGAGCTGCGGATTGTGACAGAGGACAGAGGGTCAAGCGCAGACAAAGGCCGTTGCTGTTGCTTGGCTTTTAAATAACGAAATTCCGGCCGCAGGGCACCGGAGAAGCAACATTCTCTTTCTCCTTTCTCTGGGCGGAATATGATTTTAAGTTTAGGCGAGCGTTTAGTTTAAATAGTGTCAGACCTAGTTGGCCTAAGACCAACGGCGGCACAGTAAGAAGGGGCAGGCGGCGCAGGCCGTCTCTGCAGTGGCAGGTCGGTCAAGTGGCGCAGAGCTCCGAGTGGCATGAGCAATTAACTGAGAGCTGCAGCTGCATGTGCACGGCAGGGCGGGCATGGCATGTGTGCCCGGGCGCCTGTGCATTTGTTGTTTGCTCAGTGCCGCACATAATTAAGGCCAGAAATGAACTGAAATGCGAAAGAAGCGGAGCAAGGACACAACATGCCACTAAAGCGAGCGAGCCAGAATGGCAGAAAGGACTATGGGACTACCGTCAGCAATTGCGGCAATATTTGCGTAGCATCGAGCACCGAGCACCGAGCATCGAGCATTGAGCATCGAGGGAGGCATTCATTGCCTAGCAATGAGCCACCAGACCTTTGCACTTGACAAGGGTCGGGCAGCGGCAGCGACAGTGGCAGTGGCAGCATGTGCGTACGAGTATTGAAAATGAAAATGAAAATAAAGCAAATAATACGCAAATCGTTGACCCTTTTTCATTTGGCAAGTCAGAAAGGTGGGCCAGACGGACGAAAACCTTTTGTGTTGGCAGGTTTTGAAATGCCAGACACGTTTCAGATATCCACAAAACTGAAACGGACTAAGAAAACGAAAAAAGGACTCTCCAACTGTTGGCCACAGCACGGGGCCATGGCCGTGGCCGTGCCCACGCAACTCTGCGGCTATCTGGTAATTTGTCAAAAATGTGTCAATAATGGAGATCGATTGTGGGCTCTTAAAAATTAACCGAAAATGAATTCAAATGGATTATGGGAACACAGAGGCACAGAGGTTCTCCGATTGGTCTAGTACCCTAGAAACGACCACTAAAATCTCTTAAGCTAATCTAGAAATAGATGTATTACAACTAGAAAATATAAATCATATCCAACTCTTTCTCTCACAGTCAATATCTCTGTATTATATACAAATGTTGTAGGTCGCCCTCCGATATTTTACTCTTATCGTCGCGAGGGAGCCGAGTGTTTAGATTATCTACTTTCGAGAGGATATTACTCCATCCTCTTAAATCTTAAGCCTAACGCCAGCCTGTTTGAACTCTGGCTTTCGCCATGTTAAGTAGTCTTAACTCCAGTTCACTCCTTGTCGCCGGTGCTGCCGTGTTGTAAGAATTAAATTTTTAATTAAGCACAAATATTTAATAAGTGAAGTTTACGGCATGCAGCGGCACCAAAACAAAGGAAAGCTTTAAGCATTAAGATTACCATAAACTTGTTTCCGCTGATGCTGCTCTTATACCCTATCCCATTATAAAACAGGGAAAGTTTCATCGGTTACGGTGACTGGGATGCGGCAGGGAAACAGTTTTGGAGCTATAGATATTTATTTATCCTGACGACTTCTTAGTAACTCGACAGCTGCGATGCATCCTCAGACCTATCACATTCTCAGGCAAGTCCCGATGGTTAGGGTATCAATGGTTCGTCTTTATATAATTCAGCTAAGCAGCTTTTGTCTTTTTACGTCCGTCTCTGCAGTGCGCTTTACCTTTTACATAACCGACAATGAAAGCTACTGCGACGAGGACAACAGCGGAAACGGATGTATATATTTTTGTCTGCTCCCGACAGAGTTGGAGTCTTCTTTCTGGCATTTGCATGTGCGGCCATTTGCTAGCGAACAGATCCAGCCGAGCGAGTGCTCTCCCGCTCCACACGACTGAATGGCTGTACAAAAGTTATGCCCAAGTTAATAGATAATTAACCATGCAAATTGCCGCGCAACAGTTTACAAATATCGTCGGTGTCATCGTCATCGCCATCGTCATAGTCAGTGTCATCCTCATTGCTGTCACTGTCACTGCCAACATGCGTAAGCACCTTTCGACTGCGGCTGACTAAAATGCCGAGCCCCGAGACCGAATGCCGTGTGCCTTGCTTCCAGGTGTCTCTGGTCTGACTTGGGCTTGGGCGGCTGTACGGGTGGCTGTCTGGCTTTGGCTCTTGCTCTGATGTGCGTTCAAGTACAAAAGAATTAACTCTAATTACTTTGTAATGTTGATTAAGCCCGTTAGAGGCATTAAATATGTAAACGACGTTTTGACATTTTCAGCATATTTTCGTGAATACGTGTGTGTCTGATCTTGTGTGTATGAGTTTGCTGGAACTACATACATATAAGAGTTATGCTCGTTTGGCGCCTGTGGCTCCAGCCTAGAGTTCGATTGTAATGTGGCAGGAATTTGGCTCCAATTAACAGACAGGGCTGCCGGGCCACAGAAATGTTCTGTTCAAATGTTCAGCCAACAATTCGATACTCAATTCATTGGAAGGTATCTCTATTGCCCAACTCCATTGAATTGAATGCGAGAATACCGAAAAAGCACAATTTAAATTCAACTTTATAGCCACCAACGACAGCCGGCCGACAGCCGACAACCGACAACAAACAAATGCCAGAGTCGGAGATATCAAGGTAGTCCGGGGCTGAGAGCTCGGCCAGAAGGTGGCCTGTGGGTCATGGCATAGTTTCTAAATCACTTTCTGACAGCCGTTTCGACCCTCGGCCAAAGGAAACTCGAAAGCAACAGCGAACAGAAACCGAGGATAACAATCGCTACGTCAAAAAGTTGCGCACTTTTTGTAATTTTATTTTATTTCCGTTTAAATGCGTGCAGCTCTCCCGAGATGGCTCTGCTCTGCTCTGCTCTGCTCTTCCCTCCTACGCGATTTTAAAGCTAAATTATAGCTACATAAAATTTTTACGGCCCTTTTTCTGGGTGTATCTGAAGGGCTGCCGAGGGCAGTAGCGGCCAGGTGCAGAACTTAATTCTCTGTGCACTTGACTTTCTCGCTCTTTTTTTGACACTTGGCGGCCGTTTCGCATTTTATTTGATGCCCATTTTCATTTTCTCAGGTGTGTGTGCGTGTGTTTTTTTTTTACCAGTTTTACCAGTTTTGCCAGTTTTGTTTTGCATATAATCAGAATAAATTACTTTGCACATTTTGCGGCACATAAATAATTTAAGACAAAGTCGCATCAAAGCGCAGGGAGCAGACATACCAACAGAGAAACAGAAACAGAAACGGGCACATACACACACACACACACATACATATGTACATACAGTGTGTCCCCACTGTATCCCCACTGTCCGTGTGCAGCGGCCAGAAGTGACTGTCTAAATAGAGGCAGAGTAACGGAAACGGAAATGGAAACATAAACTGGATGTGAATCTGGAACGGAGAAGTAGAAGGAGATGAGCAGGCAACAGGGAGGATGAGGAGGAGGAGGAGGAGTCAGGGGACCAAAAAACAATGAGACGGCAAATGCCAACCGCATAGTGACAGATTTTTTTTAATTTTGCTAAAAACCTACGACTAATTCTCAAACGAGCTGACACAAATCTCGAAAAGTTTTTGCGCCAACATTTTTGCAGAGCTGCCTGTCTCCCCGTCCTGACGCTCCGCCTGCCACTAGTGCCCATGTGGCAGGCTGTTTAGCTTGGGAAGCTTTTATATACACATGTATAATACAAGTATATACGAATACATACTAGTGTACACTGTACAGTGTACTTTCATGCATCAGCAGGATGCTCATCATTATGAGCTCTGCCAAGGAGGCTTTTCGGGAAAAGCTGTCCTTATGGGGTTTCAGGGAGTGCGGTAATGAGAAGAATTAACTACATTTCTTTTCATCAAATCAAATTAAATGTTTCTCTTTAAGATCTCTTTCATCAAATAACCTCATGATGAGGTCATGAGTAGTTGCCCTTCTATCCTCGGAATGAACACAATTTAAACTCATATATTCCGTACTTTATTTCGGGCAATATCCAAAAATATACAACACCCACAACCACTGGCATGAATGTGTATATTATGACATCATGGGAAGGTATCAAATGAAAAACCACAAGAAATAAATTTTAAATGAGTTTGCCGTACCCTTAACTACCCTTCACTCATGAAAAACTATGGAAAATATTAAAAATATGACGAAGGAAAGAAGCTTCTGCTTTTCCTTATAATGTTCTTATTTATTTTTGTTTGTGAAAATACATTTTTTTAAACCACATTTTAGTCTTCTGTTGTGAACAATTAGGTTGAACGAAAACTTAATAGTTTTGGAATAGTGGAATTTTATTTATGAGCCAAAGAGATATGTTTATAGATGAATTGTATACCTAGTGCTAGTAGCTCCTAAGAACCACTAACATGTTGTGCCCACGGGGTGCACCGAGCAATTATTTTATGTACACAATTCGTACCTAAAAATAGCAAAAGATTTAATTGCTATCCGCACTCTTATTTACACTTCTGGGATGATAAATAACAACTATTAACAATACAACAATTAAACCGAATATCTGTTGGTAACGTTTTGAAATTATTGATTAATGTAGTAGCTAAACAGTTTTGTTTCGGATGCGAGTATTTTCTAGATACCTGCGAGTGCTAGGTACAAACCGCAACGGCAATAATGACATCTCCTGTGGACTTTGTTCGAATCGAGTAATGTACACAAAGTCATAGATACATACTTTGCATAAACCAACACGTTATGTGTGTGCAGATGATTTGTGCGTGTGGAAGTGGCTTTAGACAGTTTCATAAACCCAAGGTAACCACAAAGCAAAGTGTGACAACGCTGCGGATGGGAAACGTAAGCCATTCCCCGGAGGATTCGCTTTCTCTCACAGGAGATGAAGAAAAGTAGGCAGTAAATTATAGATAAAATAATATGATCAGAGTCAAGTTAGCTCCGAAATTTATTTCGGAAAGTCGATCGCAAAATCACACTTGGAAAAAAACAGACATTCTCCGCCAGGCATTCGCTCACCTCACACAAATATTCGTTTGCAATAGTTCGATTCCCGTCTCAATGAAGACTACAAAAATCCAAAGTATTTCCTCGATGCAGTCGCAAAGGTCAAACTCTTGCTCCTCTGGGGTGTCGCAGGTGCGCGACCTCATCCAAGAGCTGATGGGCCCCCGCACAGTCTTGATCCGGAAGATCGCCTGGACCCAAATGTTGCCCGTGACCCGAGATGAATACGGAGGCTACAGCGACGACTGGTGGCCGGACTACACGATATACTCGCAGTCCCATGCCATCACAGATATGAACGTGAGTGGGCGGTGGGCGGTGGGCAGTGATATGAGCGCCAATCGAAATGACATCCATTGCCGATTCAATCCATTTTCAGGGTTTGCTGGTCTACACTCAGGACGCTCTTAAGGGCATGCCAAATGACCTAGAGCTAATCTACGCAAAGTTTCAGTCTACGTATAAAAAATCGAAGCTCAACACACGGGTCAGGCGCAATCGGAACCGCGTTATCAACGGCCTCATCAAGGACATTATTATCTTCGTCACAAACGTGGGTCGCCAATGCCGGAAGATGCTCGACAAGCGTCGGGCCTACTACGAGCAGGCCAGTTTGTCCAAGGACACCATCGATCGCGTACAGCTGAAGATCTTTGACGAGCAGAGCTTCATCCAGCTGCAGACCAGTATGCGAAGCCTGGAGGGGTTCCTGAAGGACTTTAACTCCCTGTTCGTCACAGAGGCGGAAGCTGAGTTCGATGCCGAGGCTGCGGCTGAGCAAAAGAAAGGGCTGCCGCAAGGCTCGCTCCCGCCTCCACCTCCGCCACAGGGCAAAGCCAAGGCACGGCGTTAAGCCCCCCGATCAGGAAGTCATCTTGTCGCTTATTCCCAAGCCATTGCCATCGCCATCGCCATAGCCATCGTTTCTATTGTACGGCTCAGACACACATAACAGACGCGGGACAGGGACAGGGACAGAGACAGGAACAGGGACCCAAGCAGCGGTAATAAAGAGTTCGCCCCCAGTGTATTGGAGTATCTGGGAAAGCTTTTCATGCTTCAAAGTCAATATAGTCGTACTCCTACTAGTGTGCCATGTACAGAGAGCACAGTTTTAAAACGGTAAGTATGCCTTTCAGTTACGTGGTCGTGTGTGGTGACACACTTACTCCTCCACTGAGCCCGGGTGTGGGCCCGGGGGGTGGCCCCCACTGGCCGGGATGCCCCTTGTCAATGGGCTGTTAGTTGCTCCGAGCACAGACGCCATTCAAGCGGAAATGCAGCACCGAAACCCTGCGCCGAGCAACCGGCAACGGGCACACGGCAACGAAAAAAAAAAATAGCCCGAGGCAGAAACCTCCATGTGAAGTGTGTCATCAGTTTAAGGTTTTTGTGGGCAGCACACACATATACTCGTATGCCCAGGTACAGGACCCAGACGAGGACCAAGACCAGGCACGGCACGGCACTCTCCTGCTCCGCTGCCGAGCTCCAGCTACAGCTACAGCTCCAGCTCCAGCTCCCAGCCCCAGCCAGCCCGTATTTTCATAATAAACAAATGGGTTGTATGGTTGGTTGGCTTAACTTTTGGGCTGCCAGCAAGTCGCAGATACCAGATAGCAGATACTCGTACGCGCAGAGGCAGAGGCAGAGTCGGTCGACGTCGACGTCGACAGCCACCGCCACCGTATTTGTTAGCACAAATCAGTGCTATTTATATTGTGGCCAGGGGCTGGAGGAGTATAGTACCCACCATTTCCAACCCATCCACCCAATCCACCCTTTCCCAGAGACATCTACTTCTGGCCTGCACTGTGCGTAGCGTTGTCAACACGCTTGCCAACTGCAGTTCGGCTCGAACGAGGGAGGGCTCTATCCAATTTGCTGGGGAAGCCACAGGGGTAGCAGCAGCAACACAGAAGAATGCTGGAAAAAGTAGAGTGTTGCATACTTTGCTGCACTCGCAGCAGAAAGTTCGCGTCACGCAGGCAACATTAACATGCTGCTTATCGCTGATATGCAGTGAATCGGGGATGGGGCACGGCCCAACTTCCGCTGCATGCTGTCAATGCAACAAGTTTAAGAGGGGGCGGTCTGCTCTGGGAATCTGCCAAAACTTTTTTGTGCCTATCACACTGTCAGAACCGCAAAAGTCATGCAAAAGTTGCCACCCCCGAGCCCAAAGCCGGGTCTCTGCCATCTCCCTATCTATACCATCGACGTTGGACTGACTGGCGGTGGGGTCGGGCCCAGGGCCCAGGGCCACGCCACAGTCACCGCAAACAAAAGAGGCGCATCGTCCCCGAACTTGGCTTTCGGAAAACAAAATTTATTATGGACGCTTGGCGGGGCGTGTCGTCATCGACATCGACATCGACTTCTTCGACTTTGACTTCGATATGGCTGCTACGTGGATGCGTACTGCTCCCCGCCCCTACCCCCGCCCCTGCCTCTGGCCCAGCCTTCCATTTGCGATTTGCCATTTGCCAGCGAAGCTAACATTTAGAGTGCCATGCTGCGCTTTAATAAAATATTATCATAAACGTAACGGAAGCTAGTTCCTCATATGCTTACGAGTATTCCCAGTCCTCGCAAAAAGGAATGCGAGTACGAGCACGAGCCCGAGTATGGATGGCGAGCACATAATGTTTTCTCCGGTGGCATGCGAAAGTCTTCCTCCTACTGGATAGCAAGGGTATAATACGTTTTCATAAATCAAATGAATGGAGAGCTGCTCAATATTTAATGTCCTGCCTGGCGAAATTTGTACCCATCAGATATGTGAGATTATATTTGGAATTTTCTGATGCAAAGCTCCCGAGCACGACACTCCTGAATATGGAACACATTTCCTTTATTCTCAGTAAAAGCGTCTATGGCATTTACCTAGAGTTTGTTAATCTATTATTAATCGTATTAAGCAGTAATATTTATTTTTACCAAGTAATTGGTATGGGACTTTATATATAACTAGGGGGCAAGCCCTCTTGTTCGTGCGACGACAACCCAAAACTTTTTTATATAGTAAAAAGATATAGATATGTTTCACCATGCAACAGTCGGATAATATATGAAATATTTATCTACATTTTTATTTAATTTATTTTCTTTTTCCCCATCTATTAGATTAGATCTTCAAAGCACGTGGCATACAGCCGTACAGAAATAAGTGAAAGCTGTATTAACCATAACAAGCAGTACCGCCTTGTACTGCTTGCAGGGTACCTCCTGCGGATATCCTTCAGAACGATCCATATTCCTCACTTTTTCCACGCTGCACTTTGTTTCTGGGTTAACTCGTTACTCTCGTCCCCAGCTCCCAGTTACCAGCTACCAGCTCCCTTTCTCCTCTCTTCCCTTCTGCTGCCGTTTCTCTGGCATTCGGATATTTTCATTATTTATTGCCAGCCCCCAGTGCAGCGGGAAAATGCAACTGCTTGCTTACACGTATATATGTATGTACGGGTATGACTAGAAATGTCTGGGTAAATCTAAAGGAATGTGCTTCCTGTAGTTCTTTATTGCTCAATCGAGAGGGCGAGTGAGTGCAAGTTAATGGTAATGTTTGGCTACTTTGTTACAATTTCGCAGAAATGTCGATGGGCTACACTTAGGGGAAAACTTCCATTCATATATAATCTTTGCCACCTTACAACCTCGTTATATGAGCATATTATCATGACTACCAAGTTAATTTTCACAATATACTCCTGATTTCGGTGGTGACGGTGGTCCACTCCTTCCACAGGGGCAGCCCCTTTATCTGTCTCGGAGGTGAAGCTCATTACGCGGAAATACCCGGCCAACAAACATGAATCGACGACAACTAACACAATGCCTCGCAGGTCATAAATGTCCAAAAGACTCTCAACGAGTTGATCGGGCGGGGGCTTGCCACACGCCAAATGCATTAACTATAATTGGCTTCGACTAATTTCGCTTTTGGGTAATTAGGCCCTAATGAAACCTAATAGACCTTGCTCTTGGGGTTGGTGTACCACACGACTAAGCCACAGGAGTTAGAGGGAATCAGTCAATAAGCCAGCTGCCAACTGCTAACAGGAGGCGACTGCCACTGACAGCGGCACCGGATAACCACATCGTATTAAACATCGACAAATTGCCTGTCAATCCACCTGTAATTTTTATAAATTTCCAATTGTGAGGCAGCTGCCAGTTTGCTGCTGTTCTCCTTTTCTCCTCGGTTTTCCCATTTCCCGCCTTCCTAGCCTTCCTAGATTCCCAGGCACTGCGCTGCGTTCAGTTTCAGGTCGTAATTAACGGCAGCAGAAGAAAGTAGGGAAACAGCGACAACAACAGCCACCTCACCACCTCGCCACCTTGCCACTTCGCCACTCCGGGACTTGGTAATGGAAGCTACTGCTAATGAACCCATCGCCGACGCCTGTTGGCGTGCCAACGGAGACAGCGGACACGGGGAGGCAGCATGCAGAAATGACTTTATTAACAGCCCTGCCCCCAGCATACATCCCACCACCTGGCAGTACTCCTACTCCTACTCCTACTCCTACTCCTACTGCTACTCCTCCCCCACACTCTTATTTAGATTTTTATTGCTAAACTTTGTTTCTTTGGTTTGTGTTTGTGTTTGTATTTCTGTTACTGGTTTTCTTTTTCCTTTTCTCTTTTCGCTTTTCCAACACACGTTTGGCAGCAGTCAGCAAGCAAGCGGGAAAGATGGAAATAAATTGGTGGTGGGGGAGGGGGAGGGGGAGAGACGTGTAGTAGAGGCAGTAGAACCCACGACTATGTTTCCATATCGAAGTCAGCCCGTTAACGGCTGTCGACATTCACTCCGCTCCTTCGCATGCGACACTTTGAATGTTTTAAATGGTTTTTTATTGCCTCGCCCTCGTCCTGTTGTGCGGTTTGCCGTTCTCCGTTCTCCGTTCGACGTTCGCCTTCGCTCCTGCATAAAATTAGTTTAATCACTGTTTTCAGAGTCCAGAAATGGGTACAAGGGGGCAATAGGGGCACCGGTGGCACTAGGGGCATTGGGACTAGGAGGTGCCGCGTCAGGTGAAGCCAGCCAAACCCATAAGTAAGCGTAAATAATGTCAAAGCAGTGCAACTATATATGGAAGGGAAGGCCACATCCAGAGGTCCTCCCCTAGCTGCGGGTGTCAATAGAACCATTAATAGGGCGTGCTGACAAAATTAGCACAACAATTATGCAGGTATTAGTCAAAGTTTACTCTAAATGGAGGGAGCGCTGGGACTCGGTGGCCTTTGAGGAAGGTCTCCAAAGGAGAGCATAGTGCAGGGGCAGCAATGGTGTGATCAAGGCAAAGCTATACTTTACAAAATGAATGGAATTGATTTGATTACACGCATTAGGGTCAGTGTGAAGATTCCTTCAGGAACCACAGCAAGATTGTTGTGCCGATAATAATATTCTTTTGAGTTAGAGTCTATTAATTAAACATCGATGGAACATCGAACTCTACCTCTATTTTAGTAATATTTTCCACCAATTCTATGAAAAGTGAATACTCTTTAGATTTCATAAGGCTACGAACCGTTTTAGTGTCCAACCATTCGGAAAACAGAACCCGGAGTATCCTGAAACACGCCGTGTATGCCCACTGGCCGCAAACTTGGCCCGAGAGCTCGTCATATGGCAAAAGTGTGCGTCGTGGGCGAGCGGACCCGTGTCAGACTTATCAATTTATCTTGTGACCTGGCGGCGGCTACAAAATGCTTATAATGTGCCCTAATAATTGCAGTGGGTTTTATTTGTGCGGAGCAGCCTCGCATCCCGCCTCGCACTGGGCGACAGGTGTGCTCGGCCAGGGCGAAATGGTCTGCTGTCATGAAACATTTGTCACAATAAACTTTATTTGTTTCCGTGTAGTGTAGGACTATGCTTTATTTGCTCTTCGCTCGCACTGACTGCGAGGATGTTTGAGGAGGTGAGGAATGTGTGTGAGTGTGTTTAAAAGTTTTCCCAACTTGTTGTGGGTTCTGTGCTGGCTGTGGGTTTGTTTTCAATGTGCGTGTTGGACTCGCATAAGCCGCGAGACACCCAGCCCCAGTCGCACTCGCAGT